TTGACTGATGGCCTTCAGTCCTGGATATTGACAAAAGTGTTTTTATTGTTGTTTTTTAACCAAGCAGTCTGTCCACCTTCGGGATTAATTCAGAAAACTCTGTTTTATGAAACATCAGGCTCTGAAGTGAACGAGCACAACTCTGGTTGCGTTCCCGCCCCCGAGATAACACAGAGTAAGGTGTGCCAAAGGAGGGCACCACACAAGGACCCTAGTTGTTGAGAAAGTGAGTAATTTGTCCTGTCACTTTTTTTTAAATCCCCACCCAAGGATGTTTTTATTGATTTGAGAGACAGAGTGGGGGTGGGGGGGGCATCGATGTGAAAAACATCTAACGGCTGCTTTCCATACGCACCCCAACAGGGGATTGAACTCGCAACCTAGGTCGTGTGCCCTGACCAAGAAGCAAACCGCTAACCTTTGGGTGTATCGGACAATGCTCAACCGAGCCACTCGGCCAGGGCAGCTCTACCATGTTTTTCAAAGAACTGTGCAGCAACTTTCTAAGCAGTTGACTGTTTCAAACATCTTGGGTTGCTAAAGCTGACAGAAGAAATATCTAGATCTAAAAAAATCAGGCGCTATCCGAAGGAATACTAATTTTCATGTATTCTAAATGTTAAGACATATTTTTGAATGTTAATTTATAGATATCTGTATACTGGGGAAAAGTGGTGAGCAGACGGAACTGGCCAAGGGAAAACAGCAGCTGACAGGCAGGTTGTGAGTATCCCGTGTATGTCCTTAATAAAGTATCCGACTCCCGCCACAGTGCACGGACTTGGGAAAGATGTACTGCCAACTTATTGCAAGACCATTTCAAACTCCCCAAGTCACAGTCTCAAGGTAACTGGAGATAAAGCCTCTGTCCTTCAGTTCTTCTGCTTTATCCGTCTTTAAACCAATTAAGGGCATTTTGGAGTATTCATTAGTTTCCCAAGACAGTGCAATGAAACAGCCATATCCCTGGGTCAGCAATAGTTCTGAAGAAAAAGCATCATTTATTATAGCACCAGGCCAGACTAGGGAATCAAGCACTTTGGGCTACATTTAACTCTTTCTCTGGCCTACTGAGTACTGTTTCTTCCTTTGCCCCTTTATTTTTTTCATTCAAAAAATGTTTACTCAATACCTACTATATGCCAGGCTCAATTCTAGGTGCGGTGTCTACAAGAGAGATCAAGTTCTCTCACACAATACATTCAAACTAGGGGAAAAAATATCTTCGGGTGGGAGATGAGTGCAAGAAAAAAAAATCATAAACAGGGTAAGAGAATCCAGCGCTGGCAGGACAGAGGGGAGGGAAGAAAAGCTCTCCGTTAGGGAAGAGCTCCAGGAGGCGGTGACAGCTCAGTGGAGATTTGAGCGATAAGCAAAAGATCTGATTGAAAAGCTCTGCAGGCCAAGAAAACAAATGCAAATACACGTGAACTGAAGGAAGGCCTGTGTGGCCAAAAGGGAATGAAAGGGGAAATAGAGGATCTAGATGAGGCAGGGGAGGCGACGGGGGCTAGAGAACCTAGAGCATAGCATGCTTTGGGAAAAAATTGCAATTTTAATCACAGTGAGATGAGAACAAATGAATAGATAAAGAAAATCTGGCGTGTACATAATATTCATCCATAAAAATGAACGAAATCTTGCTGTTTGTGACAACATGGATGGACCTTGCTAAGTCAAATAAGTCAGAGAAATATAAATACAATATGATCTCATTCATATGTGGAATCTTTAAAAAACAGAAACAGTCCAGCCGGTGTGGCTCAGTGGTTGAGTGTCGACCCCTGCACCAAGAGGTCACTGGTTAGATTCCTGGTCAGGGCACATGCCCAGGTTGTGGGCCAAATCCCCAGTGGGGTGCATGCAGGAGGCGGCCAATCGATGTTCTCTCTCATCAATGTTTCCATCTCTCTCCCTCTCACTTCCTCTCTCTAAAATCAATAAAGAAAAAAAAACAAAACCAGAAACAAAAACCCCCAAGCTCATAGGTATAGAAAACAGATTAGGGACTTCCGGTCAAGATGGCAGGTAGGTAAACGCGGTATCGCGTCCTCCCACAACCACATCAAAGTTACAACTAAACTACAGAACAACCATCATTCAAAACCGCCTGAAATCAAGCTGAATGGAAGTCCTACAACTACAGAATTAAAGCAGCAGCTGCATCCAGACTGGTAGGAGGGGCGGAGGGGATGGGCTGGTCCCACACCCACGTGTGGCGGATAAAAATCAGGAGGACACCTCGGCTGGGAAGGTCCTTCCTGAGGACTGAGGGGTCCCCGTCCCACACCAGATGCCCAGCTCAGGGTTCCAGTGCCAGGAAGAGAATCCCCATCACTTCTGGCTGGAAAAACCAGTGGGAACTGAGGCTCAGGGAAGCTGAAGCGGCTGGAGCCCCAGGCAGCTCCTTAAAGGGCCCGCGCACGGACTTACCGGACTCTCTCCCTCTAAGCTCGGAGGGGAGGCAGCTCGAGGGGCGCCAGACACATACAGGGAAGAACTGAGCTGTTTGGCACTGGGGTGAGGGCTGGAGAGGGGGCTTTCTCTGGGACAAACGTGCTGTCAGAGGCCTTTGTTCCTTTGGTGAGCCCTTCCCGGGGGCGGCAGACAGAAGCCATATCTGGGCCTCCAGCAACCTGGCTCACACTGGTAGCCCCGCCCTGGTCACTCCCTGAGGCCCCGCCCCGCCCCACCCAACTTTCAAGCCCACCCAACTTTCAAGCCCACCCAAGCTGTTGCCACTTGCTTAACCATAGGATTGGCCTGTCTTGGATCCTGCTTCAGGTTTTTCCTAAATTCTTTCAAACGAGCAGCATCTAGTCTCAGCGAGCCCCATACCTCTGGTTAAGTAATACACTGAAACAAATGCAGGGAGGCAGCCAAAATGAGGAGACAAAGAACCAGGTCCCAAATGAAAGAACAGAACAAAACCCCAATAAAAGAACTAAGCGAAATGGAGATAAGCAACCTAACAGATGCTGAGTTCAAAATACTGCTTATAAGGATGCTCAATGAACTTAGTGAGAACCTCAGTGAACTTAGGGAGGGCCTCAAGAGCATAAAAAAGGACCAGTCAGAAATCATGGATACACAGTTAGAATTGAAGGAGGCATTAATTGAAATAAAGAATAATTTACACAGCTTCAATAATAGAGTACGTAAATCCAAGGAGCAAACCATCGATTTGGAATATAAGGAAGCAAAAAATGCCCAATCAGAACAGCAAAAAGAAAAAAGTATCCAAAAAAATGAGGATAGTGTAAGGAGCCTCTGGGACAACTTCAAGCATGCCAAAATTCGCATCTTGGGGGTGCCAGAAAGAGAAGAGTGAGAACAAGAAATCAAAAACCTGTTTGAAACAATAATGGCAGAAAATTTTCCTAACTTGGTGAAGGAAACAGACATACAAGTCCAGGAAGCACAGAGAGTCCCAAACAAGATGAACCCCAAGAGGCCCACACCAAGACACATCATCATCAAAATGCAAAAGGTTCAAGACAAAGAGAGAATCTTAAAAGCAGCAAGAGAAAGGCAGCTAGTTACCTACAAGGGAGTTCCCATTAGGCTGTCAGCTGATTTCTCAAAAGAAACTTTGCAGGCCAGAAGGGAGTGGCAAGAAATATTCAGAGTGATGAATAGCAAGAACCTACAACCAAGATTACTCTATCCTGCAAAGCTGTCATTTATAATCGATGCACATATAATAACTTTCCCAGACAAGAAAAAGTTAGAGGAGTTCATCACCACCAAACCGTTATTATATGAAATGATGAAGGGTCTTTTTGAAGAAAAAGATAAAATATATAAACAAACAAAATGGCAATGAATACATATCTATCAACAATGTAATCTACAAACAAAAGGAACAGGTAGAACAGAAACATTCTCATAGATACAGAGAACATTTTGTTGGTTGCCAGTTGGGAGGGGGGTTGGGGGAATGGGTGAAAAAGGTGAAGAGATTAAGAAGTACAAATTCATTGCTAGACTGACAAACCTCAAAGGGAAAGGGGTTGGGGGGGTGGGAAGAAATAAACCAAAGAAGTTATATGCATAACCAATGGACACAGACAATAGTGTGGGGAAAAGCAGGAGGGGGGGCGGGAGTGGGGAGGAGGGAGTCAATGGGGGAAAAATGTAGAACATCTGTAATACATTTTACATCCAACAATAAAGATTAAAAAATAATAATAATACAGGGTTCAACTATACGGCTATATTAGGTTGAATCCTAAGAAATTAATATTTGATGTTTTCAAAACACTGAACAAAAAAACTCAGGGATTTTTATGGAACATATTAAATAAAAATCTAAAAATAAAAACAAAAAACAGATTAGTGATTGTGGGGTGGGATGGGTGGGTCACAAAATGTGTGAAGTGAGTCAAAAGGTACAAACTTCCAGCAACAAAAGAAATAAGTTGTGGGGATGTAATACAGTAATGTATGTCAATTACACCTCAATTTTTTAAAAAGTGAGATGAGAAACCACTAGAAGGTTTAAACAGGAGCTAAACCATCTCAACCATGGCACAGACTTAATGAGGACCAAATATATGAAGTATACTACACAGAAAATGATCAGGTTTTCTCTTGAAAGGGGCCTCAGGGTCTGGGGTGAGACATGAGGCTTATTTTCTGTCATCATGGGGCTAAACACTAATGAGCTGACTGATCTTACCACCTCCTTTATCACCTCGACTGTTCCAGAGACGGGACTCATGCCCCACCTGCATTCAAGTTCTCCCTTACACGAGCCCAAATCTGATTCCTTGTGACTTACTCATCTGCCCCTTACGCCCTTCTGGGCTCTACCAACAGCTATCACACCACAAGAATTCTCTTCTCAAGCAGGTCAGTACCAGTTACTCATCTGACTTTTAACTTTTTATTACAGAAAACTTCAAATGTTCACAAATGCAGAGAGAATAGTATACTAAATCTTTATTTACCTATGACCAACTTCAACAACAACCAACTCATGATCAATTCAGTTTCCATCTGACATTTTGATTTCCTTGACTACCTTGATCATTACATTTGTCTTACAAGTGTAGTCTGGCCAGTTCAGAGAACTAGCAACCCACCTGAGACATCCATTTCCACTAACACAGCCACACTGTCTCTCCATCATGCAAAATTAGTTGCCTCAAACTCTCCTACCAGAACTTGTGCAGTATGGTTTTTGGACCCAAGTGGGGGAATTTATATTTGTTCCTGTGATTTTCATCTTATCAGATTTAGTCCATCCCTTCAGGCTATTTATAATCCTTTTGGACCTTGACTCTCTAACATTTACCATCCCTTCCCAGCTTTTGTGACACGTAAATCCTGAAAAATAACTAAAGTTATCTCTACCTTCTCTGAGGTTAAAAAGAAAGAATACAAACATGCATAAGAATGGATTAGAAAGAGTGTAGAATTGGGAAGGAGCACACACACACCTTAGTTAAACTCCTCATTCCACAGACTGTGTCTGGTTCAAGGCCATCATTCGGTAAAGCAGTGCGGCTGGAGCCTAGGTCTGGAGCTCAGTGCTCTGCCTGCCACCCCTAACCTCTAAGCCCTCAGCGGAGGCGCTCAATGACAGAAAATGTACATTACACCAGCTAGGCTAGTGTCTGTGGACCACTGCAAACTGATTTCTTGTCAACTACCAACAATAACCCACTCATTTGGCAAATAATCATCCCATGTTGCTCTCCACCAGACCCCACTGCCCTCAATTACTTTCCAAGTTTCTCCCACCCTCAGAGATTAGGTTGGAAATCATTTTCTCTGCTCTTTCTTAAACAATTCCTGCAGTACGTAGGACTCCGTAATGGAATTAGAGTTAGGAATGTCAAAAATGTTCATAAATAATAAATGGCTTATATATATTAGAAATGAGAGTCTGTTATTCAAAAAGCCACAAAATATCTTATTTGGAAAAAACACTTAAATATACACCTTAAAAATTCAGCACACTCAAGAATGCATTTTACAACTGTTTCCATTTGAGAAACAGAAAGTTAAAATGGGTAATAATTATAAACACAATTTCACGAGAATCTGGATAATGTGCAAGAAGCATCATGTTTTTTCTGATATTTATCTTTATGATTAACTAACCACACAAAGTCCAGATGTGTACAGCCCAGGGAGCCCCCCAAAAAAGTGGCAGTGCATCAGGGGGTTTCTTTCCCTCAGTAAACGACACTGGGGCGTGGGAAGGAGCCTGGGAGCTGTACAGGAGCGCACAGTCCAGCTTCCTATCCAGTCAGCAGGCATCATCAGCTGTCAAACCACTTGCTCCTCTTTGCAAGAGGCGCTCCTTTAGACGGTCCCAATAATTTCTGCTTATATTGTTCGACCAGCTGGTTGAAGCGAATTTCAGCCTTATTTCCCTTAGCTTTTTTCTTAGGTACCTACAAATGAAAGGTAAGGAAACAAAAGATAGTCAGTTTCAAACAGTAAATATCATCTTACCTTAAGGCCACCCAAGAGAGAAAATAAGTAGGTACAGAGATCTTGTCCACCACAAGAAGGGGACTTTTAGAGAGTGACCCTTGGAGAGAAAAACCCTTAAAAAATCATCCATTGGTAAGAAATCAGACCAGGAATGCAGAGAAGGGCTCCCTAAAACACTGCACAGGTGTTTCAGAGGCCACTCCCAAATGCTCACTTGAATCTCCTCACAGAAGAGTCAGCCCAGAATTGGGGTGTTTTCACTCGCCCTTTCCCTCGCCAAGAACACTGCTTATGGGGTTTCAGGAAGTTTTATAAGACAGTGTGTATAGGCCCAACACTTCCCAGGCACACAGATTTCTCAAGGATGATGGGAAAGTAATACTTCTTGTACCCTAAAAGAAAGCTTGACCTGAAATGTTCAAAATCTTAGGACCACTGTTTCCTCCTAAAAGGAACTAGGACCCCTCGGGAAAACGGCGAATGCCAGGGCCAGGGAGGAACAGATTTGTAAGATGAGCTGGGACATCTGGCTGTATTGAAAAGGACACTAATAAAGACAGAGTCATCTCACAAGGTCTCAGAAATCCACCTGACAGGGTTTCTGCTAGCCTAACATGGCATAATGACTGCATCTGATGGAAACACATCAAGTACATAAAAACTCAGGAATGATTTTATAATACTATAAAATCTTACTGGTCACTATAGGAAGTTGATAGGACACCAATGCATTATTCTGGAAATTGATGAAGAGAAAAAAATAAAATAAAACATTTATCCTGCCTTTCCTATACAAATGGTATTTCATGGTAGCCAAAGAGTTAAAAATATTCTTTTTTTTTTTCTAGAATTCTACTAAAAAAAAAAAAAGCAAATGGATTGATGAAATTAGAAAATCATCATTTTGCAACCCATATTAAAATAGAGGATCTAGACAGTAATCGTCAATGGTATTAAAACCATTTGGTGAGAGGTTGACGGGGGACTTTACAAATGGAGGAATAAGGTAGACAATCCGCTGAGCCAAACCGGCCAGGGCGACAATCCCTAAACCTACTGATGAATTTGAGTTATCACCAAAAATGGGGCAACCGGACATTAGGATGCCTTATGATACAATGCAACAGAAAGCACATAGCATTACCTAAGAAATACTTTTGCCAAGCCCTGGCTGGTTTGGCTCAGCGGTTAGAGCTTCGGCCTGTGGACCAGAGAGTCCCGGGTTCGGTTTCTGCTGGGGGTATGTGCCTCAGTTGCAGTTTGTCCCCGGCCCCGGATGGGGTCGTGTGGGTGGCAGCCTGTCGATGTGTCTCTCTCACGTCAATGTTTCTCTCTCACTCTCCCCCACCCCTCTCCCGTTCTATCTGAAGATAAATGCAAAAGTGTCTTCAGGTGAGGATTGAAAATAAGAAAGAGAGAAAGAGAGAGAGAGAGAGAGAGAGAGAAAGAAAGAAAGAAAGACTTTTGCCAAGAAAACTGAACTTGAGTCTAATCAAGCTCTAGATCAAGCTACCAGTATACAGGCAATATGGGCTGTTATAGAAATGAGTTAAATGACAACCCAAGGAAGCAAAGCAGCTAACTCAAAATGTAATACATTCTAAAAGGCAAATGACCTGGTTTCTCCAACAAATTAACAGCATGGGAAAAAGGGAGTGATGAGGAAGACTGGATATTATAGGGAAAAAAAAAAATTTAAGAGATATAAAAATCATATGTAATATGTGGACTTTGAATCCTGATTGATGCTAACCAATTATAAAAATTTTTTTTGAGGCAACTGGGGACATTTTATTTTTTTTTATTTTTTTATTTTATTTTTTATCCTCACCCGAGGATATTTTCCATTTTTTGTACAGATAGAGTGGGAGGGAGAGAGAGGAAGGAGAGAGAGAAACATCGACGTGAAGGGACACATCGAGTGGCTGCCACCCGCACGACCAACCAGGGCCGGGGACAAACTGCAACCGAAGTATGCGCCCTTAGCGGGAACCGAACCTGGGTCTCTCCGGACCGCAGGCCGACGCTCTAACCGCTGAGCCAAACCGGCCAGGGCAACTGGGGACATTTTAATATGGGCTGTGTATTAGATGACATTTAGGGCTTCTTACTAATTTCATTAGATGTGATCATGGCTCTGTGTGTGTGTGTGTGTGTGTGTGTGTGTGTAAGGCCTGAGCAATACACATTTCCACAAGGCACATTTAAAAATGAAGTATTTAATGTACTGGGGGCAGGGAGCGTGTATGGGGGATAGGTAAAACAGGGTAACTGTTGAGTCACAGTAACTGATATGTGGGGGTTATTTCCCTATTCTCCCCCCTTTAGGGCTGTGTACTTCAGTGTCCTCTGAACAGCTGAGTCCTGCATGCAGCCACAATCTAGCAGCCCTTTTTTGCTCAACTGATCAAGGCACAAAAGCAACTGCCAGCCCCAGCAGAGCCTGTCGTACCAACACCTCGTGCACTACGGACTCGCCTGCTTGGGAGATAACTTCTGCTTCTCTTGCTTCCACTGGTTCATCTGGGGCTTTGGCTTTTTAGGAGGGAGAGACTTCACTTTGCCTTTGTCCCGCAACCTGAAACAATATGGTCAAGTGTCACCTCCGCGTTCTTCCTCTAATTGGCACCCCTGAGGTTCTCTGAGGTAGGAAGATAAAATGCCTTTTCTTACACTGGCGTTTTCAAACCCATGATAAGTCATTTTAGAAAGGGATGCTGTAACAGAATGTCCTAAGGTTCAACATTTGTACATTTGTTTTTTTGTTTGGGTTTAAAACCTCAAGAGAATCTCAAAAAACTTTCATGTATTTAACAAATATTTTTTTAAAGATCAACTTTTATTCATAGCATATAGTCTGTTGCCCCAAACAGAACTGCAGGGGAACCTCAAGTAGGTAGGCTCAGTGGACAGACAGCCATCTGGACAGTTGGAAGCTTTCAAAAGAGGAGGAAAGGTCATGAAAGCCCAGCCTGGAAGGCTCCTCGGAGGCCCCTCTGCCAGTCCTGTTCTGCTTCCATGCAGTCCAGGAAGGACACGTCTGCTGTGCTCTGGGACTAGCACAACACTGAGCGTCCCTGTCGTACAAACAAAAGCCACAAAGAGGAAAAGAGCTGAGGAAAAACAAACCCTCTCAGAAACCATTCCCTGTCCTATGCCATTGTCCTGCATCTCACCTGATTTTGGGGCCTCGGTGTGAGGGTAGCGCCAGGACCTTTCTTCTCTTCTTTCCATCAGGCAACTCCACCTGCTCCACCTCGGCCTTGGTCTGGAATCCTGTCCATGAGATAGAGCCCGCCTTCCCCTTCTGCTCTGGGGGAGCCTGGCTTTGCTCCTGTGTGCGGTTTTGAGCTGCTTTCTGTTGTTGGTCTTTGCCAAGCTCTGGTTGCTCCTGCTGTGGCTCACCAGTTGTGGACTTGGATTTCATTTTCTGCTGCATAAAACAAGAAACCACATCTGGTTTCTGGATGAGTTTTATGTGCTTGAAACACTCAGCACAAGGTGTTATGTGTGCTTGGTTAAGAGAGAGGAATTCTTCCCATCAAAAGAGAGAGACTACAGGAAAGTGAACACAAGTGGTTCACAGGCCCCAATAGAGTCACAAATGGTTACTGGGTGGGGGCACAAAATAAACATTTCCCTTCCCACATGCGGAAATGGGGAGAGTACATGCATGCAGAAGACTTGAAAGCCAGTAGGAAAAAAAAGGCTTGGGAGAATTACTAAAGGTGTAACAAACATATAATGGAAATACCCGAAGAAAAAAAGTAACAGATGAAATATTTGAAGTAGTAAGAGCCAAGAATTTTCCAAAATTAAGACAGCCACTAAACCACAGATCCAGGGAGCTCAACAAATAACAAACAAGATAAATACCAAAAAATCTACACCTAATACTATATCAAACTGCAGAAAATCAAAGATAAGGAGAAACTCTTAAAAGCTGGGTGGTTGGGGGGAATCCCTTTACCTACAGATAGAAACAAAGATAATATTACATTGGATCTCTTTTCAGAAACCATGTAAACAAGAAGAGAACAGAGTGAAATATTTAAAATGGAGAGGAGGAATCACCAACCTAGAATTCTGTATTCAGTGTAATTATCCCTTAAAAGTGAAAGAAATGATTTCTCAGACAGCCCTGGCTAGGTGCTCAGTTGGCTGGAGTATTGTTCCATACACAGAAAAGGCTGCAGGTTCGATTCCGAGTCAGGGCACATACCTAGGTTTTGAGTTCAGCCCCGGTCAGGGCACATAGGGGAGCAACTGACCGGTATTTCTTTCTCTCTTCCTTCCTCTCTCTCTTTTTTTTAATCCTCACCTGAGGATATTTTTCCGTTTACCTTTAGTAGAGTGGAAGGAAGGAAGGGAGGGAAAAAGAGAGAGAGAGACATCGATGTGAGAGAGACATATCGATTGGTTGCCTCCCGCATGACCCTGACCAGGGCCAGGGACCAAACCACAACCAAGGTACATGCCCTTGACCGGAATTGAACCCATGACTCTTTGGTCTGAGGGCCGACACTCTAACTTAAGCCAAACCAGCCAGGGCTTCCTTCCTCTCTCTTTAAAATAATCAATAAAAACATTTCCTCAAGTAAGGACTAAAAAAAAAAAAATATTTCTCAAACAAAATTTAAATAAATCTGTCTCCAGTACATATGTCTTGCAGAAAATGCCAAACACATTTCTTCAGAAGAGGAAAATGACCTAGATCAGAAACTCAAATCTACATTAAAAAAAAAAAAGAACATAAGAGAAGGAATAAATAAAGATAAAAAAAGAAAAGATGCTGTGAGAAGAAAGGCATAAAGAATGGTACATATTTATGTTGCACTGAAGTGGAAAAAGAAAAAAAGATTCACATGAAATTAATGTGGTGTTATTTTGTCCTGTTCACCTTAAAAATCGAGATAGGCACACTGATACACAAAGATCTATCACATGCCTGCTATGTGCTAGTCTGTCACTAAGTGGTAGGGTACAGATGGAAAGAACAGTGTCTGCCTTTCAGGACTCACAGCCTAACGGAGCTAAGAGACACATACACAAATAAAGCAAAGTAAAAAACTAAAGGTGAGCAAGGCCAGTGTGGCTCAGTGGATTGAGCATCGTCCCATGGACTGAGAGGTCCCGGATCGAGTCCCGGTTGGGGCACAAGCCCGGGTTGTGGGCTTGATTTTCAGTAGGGGTGCAGGGGGCAGTCAATCCACATTTCCCTCTCACATCAGTATTTCTCTCTCTCGCTCCCTTCTTCTCTCTCTGAAAAAATCAATAAAAACATTAAACAAACAACAACAAAAAACTAAAGGTGAGTTTAAGGAAGTTCATGAAGGTACAAATAATGAGATCTTATCTCTTTTGAAAGAGGTGGGAAAATGCTACTTGAGGAAATACATCTGATATGAATGTGGAAACTGAGTCAGAGGACAGAGGCACTTTTACATAGAAAGAGCAGTACGTACATAAGTGTAGGGAACAACTAAAGCCATCCGAGTTTTTTTAAGTCAGTAGCTTCAGAATCACCTCCTGAAGCAATAGCTTAAAGCAGTAAATAAACCTAGGATAAAAAAAGTTGTCTTGAACCAAGAACCAGATCCCAGGTGTTCCAACCTAGGGCATTGTATTAGCCACTGAGCCTGCTCCTCTATTGGTCATGCTCACTATTGATCACAAAGACTGTAAATGTTTGGTATATATACAAGCTAAGGTATAATAGTAATGTCAGCTGTAAGAGCTTAGGTATCAAGAACAGTCTGGTCCCATATACCCTGGGGAAAAATGGGTAAGAGTATTGACTGTGTGCTGACCATTCACGTGCAAGACAATTTACATGTATTACCTCATTTAATCCTTATCAACTATGTGAAGCAGACACTATTTATCCCATTTTACAAACTAGAAAATAAAGCTGAGAGAGGTAGTAACTTGCCAAGGAACTCAGAAAGCAGCAGAGACTGAGTTTGAACAGAAGGATTCCCGTTTCCAAAGTCCCTGTTCTTTCCTCTACATTAGATTAAAAACAGTACTAAAACTATCAGGCATCACATTTCTGGAGCCACTGAATAAGAAAAAATAATTATGAAAGAGACAGATGAAATCTACAGGTAACGCAAAACTTTAACCTTGGCCATTCATTTTGACATGGACCATCACCAGGCACTGTACAAGAAATGCTGATTGGGAATACCATCAGTCTGCTTCTCTCCTCTCCTTCCTTTCCCTTCTGTGGAGCTATCGCAAGACAGGCCAGCAGAGGAGAAGGTAGCCTGGAGAGTTCTAGGGAACTAAGAATAAAGGGTAACAAAGAACCTACTAAAGTACAAACCTATTTCAAGGTGGCAGAACCACAAACTGAACAAAACAGAAGTTTAAACATGCCCTTTAAAAAGTACCTTAATTGGCCCTGGCCGGTTTGGCTCAGCGGTGGGAGCATCGGCCTGCGGTCCAGAGACCCGGGTTCGGTTCCTGTTAGGGGCTCGTACTTCGGTTATAGTTTGTCCCTGGCCCTGGTTGGGTTGTGCGGGTGGCAGCCACTCAATGTGTCCCTTTCGCGTCGATGTTTCTCTCTCTCTCCCTCTCTCTCTCTCCCGCTCTATCTGAGCAAAAGAATGAAAAAATGTCCTTGGGTGAGGATAAATAAATAAACAAACTTCTCTGTGCCTCAAGTTCCTCTCTAAAAAAAAAAAAAGTATCTTAATTGAACGCCGGTTTGGCTCAGTGGTTAAGGCATTGGCCTGCGGACCAAAGGATCTTGGATTCGATTTCCTGGTCAAGGGCGCATATCTGGGTTGCAGGTTCGGGCCCCAGTCAGGGTCATGCAGGGGCAACCAGACAATGTGTCTCTCTCACAATGATGTTTCTCTCTCTCTCTTTCTCTGCCCTCCTTTCCACTCTGTCTAAAAACCAATGGAAAAATATCCTTAGGTAACGATTAACAACAAAAACAGTTAAGTTGGATGTTATGTGTTATGAACAATAATTGAAAAAAACAAAAACAGAAAAGACATTTCAGTTCTGTACCTGGCTGCGCTGGATCCTCAGTTCCCTTATTTTAAGCTTCCTTCGATCTTCCAAAGAAAACTCCACTATTGGTCTCTGTGTCAGAAGGAGACAATGTCATTCATTAGATTTCTTAACCTCTGAGTGCAATAAACTGAGCTGTCCACCACCATCGCCCTCGTTCTTGCAAGTCAGAGGTGGCTGCTCACTTACTCTACTTAAAGGTAAGGGACCAGTTGTGCAAGTAGTCTATACAATTAGAGTTCCTGCCAGTCATCTTATTACCTGAATCACTGCTCATTGCCTCCACTGACTTGCTACTCTTTCCCATTACTCAAATGTCTGAGAGGGCACTGGACACGAAGGAGAAGAATGGTTTTCTGCAAACGGTCCTCAGAGGAACTGCTCTCCCAACAGGATGAGGCTCACCTTCTGAGGCCCAAAGATGTCTGGGTTGTTGTTGATGTGGCGCAGGGCTGTCAGAGCATGTTCATGCTCCTGGAACTCTGCAAAGGCGTAGCCCAGGGACTGACCCTTAATTTTCCCATGAACTCCTTTGAGGTCTCGCATCACCTTACACTATGACAAGAACAAGAGAAAAAAACAACCAATAATTACAGGATGAGGAGCCTTAACAGACTCAATTATTGGGACAGACTCTTCATCTAGATCAGCACTACAAGGGTTGTACTGAAATAACACTTGTGAATGTCTGCCTTATTAGTATACACCTACTCAGAGCACAGAACAAATTAGATCTTTTCATGCTTTCTAAGAGTTTATAGACCTCAATACAAACCTACAAATAAGCATGAATATAAAATAAACTTTCCAAGGAAAAATTATAATGCTAACTACTGACAATACATACAAGTTGAGAGGTCCATGGTACCTAAAGTTGTGCATTAAGTTATTAAGGAGGATAAAATGTAGTCTCTAGATCTCATCATTGTAGAAACCACTCAGAAAGAAAATTACTACAGAAGGGAAGGAAGAAGGCCGATGGCATTAGATAAGAAAGACATTTCAGGCTTGGGGAAGAGCCTGCCCAACATACAGTATCACAAATACAGGAAAAAGCTTTCGTTGTCTTTGCTTGGCACTGAGACCCTCTCTGACATTACCTTTCCCCAAACCTTAAGCTGACTGTAATAGGCATCCTGGGCACTGAGGTACAGTAAGGAATTTGGGGGAAATTGATCAATCACATGCTGTTATTCCTGAAGCTGAAGTTCTCATTTTGGAGAGGTCTAGGCATGAGGAACACTTGGATACTGCATTTGGTATACGTCCAGTATCTACTCTGTACCTAGAACTATGCCCTCTACTATAGGAAAATCAAGAAAAACATAAAATTCCCTGGCTGGTTTGGCTCAGCAGTTAGAGCGTCGGCCCGAAGACCAAAGAGTTGCAGGTCCAATTCCTGGTCAACGGTACATACCTCAGTTGCAGGTTCAATACCCAGCCCAGGTCGGGGTCATACAGAGGCCATCAATCAATGTGTCTCTCTGACATCAATGTTTCTCTCTCTCTCTCTCTCTCTTTCTCCCTCCCACTGTATCTAAAAAAAAAAAAAAAGTCAATGGAAAAGTATCCTCAGATGAGGATAAAAAAAAAAAAGAAAGTCATAAAATGAGGTTCCCGTCTCCAAGAGGCTTACTATTTGCTGAGACACTACTTACACATATGAAATAATTAAAGAGAAAATTCAATACAATACAAATATTGTAAAACATACATTTCTCTAAATAATGACACATTTTAAACGTGCAGACACTTATTAAGTGTTGTGGATGTTGATATGAGGAATTACACAACTGACTCCTTCACCAGTAACACTTGGAACGATTTTACCAAGAGTAGTGTCAGATACGTGCTGATATGTTCACATTCTCTCACTTAATTCCCCAAATACCAATACCGTACGTTTGGTGAGGCTTTCAAAGATTACGGTGATGAAACAGAGCAAAGCAGATTCACAATATTGGCTATGTTACTTTCTTAATAAATTCTGATCAACAGATTACTGTGTGCCAGGTACTAAGCCAAGCATTCGGAACAATGAGATGACACCTGTCCTCAAAGAGCTCAGTCTGGTTGGAGAAATGACTGACTGACAATTCCAGGACAGTGTAATAGTAAGTGCTATGACACAGGGATGCAAAGGGGCCATGGGGGAAACAGAAAGGTTTCTGTTCTCAGAGTCTAACCAAATCGTGGTATAAATCCAGCATTTGTCTGACACAGCTGCTGAAGACCTGTGCAGCTCCCTGTACTCACCACAGGGCACTGAGGACTCTTACCATAGGCTAAGAGCCTAAGTGGTAATAAAATGCTCTTCTAAAGAGCAAAGCACACAGATTATTTTCTCAGCAAGAAAACTGACATTACAGTACCTGGTAGGGTGCTGAGCACACAGCAGGCATTCAATAAATGTTTGCTGAAGTACTTCACTAGGGCAGAGACTTCCTCACATTCTATTGCAATTTGGTCAGATGTAAAAGCAATTCTAAGAAAAAAGGAGAAAAAAAAAAAAAAAGGCACGAAAACTGCCAAAGTCAGGCCTGTCTGCTGACAATGTGTCCAGAAGAAAATCTGTCCATCTGCTAGCACCACAACCTGAAAATAAATGCTCAATCTGACCCGGGACGAGTACCAGTTCTGAGCAAGCAGGGCCAACTCTCACCTCCTTGATGCGTACCCCCTTCTCCCCTCCAGTGGCATTCAGCAGCAGCTTTCTGAGCTGACTGTCATCCACGGCCTTGGGGAGATTATGCAGGCAGAGCCTGGTTCGGGAGACAAAGATATTCTGGTCCTTCAGTTTCTGATGCTTCAGTAGTTCAAACTGAAAGAAAAACAAATTGTTAACAATCCAATCCACCCTTTAAAAATGCAGGCTCATAGTTCTCCAAAAGGCAAGAACCATGACCCTGTCCAATAACTACACACATAGAAGAAAGGGGAAATCACCCACCCTGCAGTCTTACAATGCCTAGCACAGGGAAAGAAAGGTTCAGAGGCAAGATGGTGTGCAGGTGGTACAGTCATGGATGGGGCCAGACTAAATTAGAAATCTAGGCTTAACTAGAAAAGTTAGATGAAATCTTTTAGGTTGCATGTTTTTCTCACCTACAAAGTAGAACTGTAGATCAAAATATAATATCAATTTCCCAGTGGTGAGGTGAGGCCAAAACAAGAAGAGATACATAAAACCTTGACCTCAAAACTGGGCACAGGCTAAATAACAAACAATACTGTAACTAACATTTATTCCCAGTCTTGATCTAACCACCAACTCAAACTATCTAATCCTTCCAAAAGGAAATGGAATTTATTTAAAGAATACTAGAGAGGCCCATCGGTGTGGCTCAGTGGTTGAGCGTCGACCCATGCACCAGGGGGTCGCAGTTCAATTCCTGGTCAGGGCACATGCCCAGGTTGTGGGCCCAAGCCCCAGTGAGGGGCATGCAGGAGGCGGCCAATCAATGTTCTCTCTTATTGATGCTTCTATCTCTCCCTCTCCCGTCCTCTCTCTAACATCAGTAAAGAAAAAAAAAAAAATACTAGAGAGAATGTTGTCTCGTCTCTACTCTGCCACCTTGAGGCAAAGGAATGTCCACGACCACAGAAATGAATTCTGCTTCTAGAGCATCAGCCTCTATTATGCTGTACAAAACACTGACCCCAGGGCAACCTATCTCTAAAATGAAAGATGACATTCTTCTCCTTTTTTTAAAATTAAATTAGTAGAAAAAAGTTTTAAATTACATTTTCCCTTTCATCAAGTTTTCTCATTCCTACTGCTCCTTGTTTGGCAAAGGTACTAACAAATCACAAATAAACGGATATTCTGGAACTGAATAGTAAAGGGATAATGAAAGAGGCCTAAGTTCAACAGCGTGATTTTTCTTCCAGGAAAAGCTGTGCCTGCTGTGAATTACAACGCATATAATCTAGTGAGCTTTTCACTAGAAAAATTCAATCTAAGAGAAAATTAAATGTGTCACTATTGCAATGTGATCAGAAATGCCCCCAACTACCATAATTTCCAGATGCTCAATACCAAAAAAAGGTTGAGAACGCTAGTCTAGACAGGAAACTACACAGAAAAGACATGCTGCCTCTTATTGTTGCTATATTCTCATCTCAGTCCATCACCTTCTGCACTTTCAGGTCCCACAGCTAATACTAAGTGGGCTTAGCTTTTTAAAAGTAAGCTACATGGACAAAAGAAAAAGTTACTGGGAACTAACATTACCAAGCAGCAGAGAACTTAATGGCATCAGTTAGCAGTGGAAACTCCCAAAATACAGAGCTTTCCAAAAATGATTTTATAATCTGGAAACATCCTCCTCCTCCCCAAAATGGGCATCTTAACTATCTCAAGACCCACATCTACCTTCTTCCCTACTAATTCCAGCCTACTCCAAACTTCCTTTCTTACATTATCCTGCATTTATACTAATAACTAATTATACACAGCCCTAGCCTCTAAGTGTCTACTGCATGATCTCCAAACATACTATTCAGCACACATTTACTGCTGAGAATTAGAAAAAGAAACAATAAGATCCAGTTCTTATAATGGCATAAAGTGCTGAACTAATGTTATGTATGTTGGGTTACCTGCTGTTTCACCTGTGTGCTTCTTTTCTCTCTAACAACAGAGTAAGTATAGCCTGTCACCGATACTCAGCTTTTTGATAAGCACCTCTACCATTCAATAATTATGATTTATTTATTTATAATAAGTCACGCAGAACCTGAAGGCTGGTACCTAACCTACTCACACGTTCTCTTTTGGCCATATCAGCAGCGCTCACACCCTCTGCAGCCTTCGTCCCAGCACGAATCACTGCAGAAAGAGGGAAAAAGGCCAAGACATCAGCAAGGGAATTTTCACTGAGCAACAAGAGGAATGTAATGTGAATGATGCAAGCTCTTTGTACAGGGCCCAGAGGACTATGCTGGCCAGGACATAGAGGCATTTGGGTAGGGCCAGAAATAGGCTACAGGGCTAAGTTCTCAGCTCAGAGCTGCTCTCAAGGACTAACACTCTGAACATTTTGTAATTTTGTTCCTCTTCTCCTTCCCTCCCCTCAAAGAAGCTTCATCTACATGCCCAACATCAGATGGAAAGGCCTAGAGGAAGTTCTGAAAATAATTACATTTTAGGCATTTGGATTGCAAAAATGCTCCATCTATAACCTGCCCTTGAACTTTTGCTGCTCCTCATGTACTTGGGGCCATTACCAAGTGGTGGAATATGCCAGCCCAGAAAACAGCCATATCACCATATAGGGGCCTAGTATCAAAGGCTAATGACCTAACATTACGAGTGCAGGCTGTGCAGCTGTTCAACAGCTGGGCTGACAAATACTGTATGACCTAGAAGGAGGGATTCTCTTTCTTTTAATTAAAGTGAATTTCTGACTATCTTTCTGGCATTAAGGGAAAGGTACTTTGCACATTTTAAATCCAAAAGAGTAATTTTAGTCACAATTTTCACTCCTTCAGAAAACTTATTAAAAATGATGACAAGAAGCAAAGGTAATTGGAGTTTTTCCTCCCCCTTTTTCCTGCCAATCCTCTGATACAAGGGTCAAAAGGCAAGCAGGCAGAAAAGACGATGAGACTGGTTCATCTACAAATTGGGTGAAGGTTTTCTAACAGAAAGCCACATCTGCTAAAGTGGAATAATATAACACTGCTGCCCTAGCCAGTGTGGTTCAGCTGGTTGGAGCATTGCCCCATGTACCGGAAGGTCGCGGGTTCAATTCCCAGTCAGGGCACATATCTAGATTGTGGGTTCAATTCCTGGTCAGGGCATGTATGGAAGGCAACCGATCACTGTATGTCTCTTGTATTGATGCTTCTCTCTCTCCCTTCCTCCCTCTCTAAAATCAATAAAAAAAACACACACACATTAAAATAATAATGATAATAATAAAACACTACTAAAGAAGACATTTGGGGTTTTAATGTGAAACATGCCCTCAAATATAATATTGCTGGGTCACTGTCACAGTACAGGGCCAGCTACTCAGAAGCCTGGTTTGTGTCTCCCTTCCACACTCACAGCCTTCTCGGGCTAGGTAGAGGTTCCGAGTTCCAGTTGGCTTCTTCACCTTCTTTGTCCGGAGCTTTGCAGCCTCATCACGGGTCACTGCCAAGTCAACCTTGAGCTGCCGGCCATCCAGCTTCAGCCCACCACTCTGTAAAAGATTGCCACCCTCTCTCTTAAAACACGTTAACAAGTAAAAACTAAGCTGACAAGAACACTAAGGAAAGGGAAACAGCAAACCCAATTAAGCTATGGAACGCAATCCCAAGATGTTTTGGCCCAGCTAACAATATTTACTATAGTTATGCAAAAGGCCATGTGTGTACTTAGGACAGTCAACAGTAAATAATTTTAAATAATTTATTTTATGGCACATGATTAGGCCCCAAATAAGCCTAAATTGAGGAAAATGATCTGTAAACAGGCAAATATTTAGTAATCTAAAGGAAGCTAATGAAATGGTAGTGTTAACTCAAGAAAATTTAACAGACAATGGCAATACAAAATAACTATCACAAACCAATTTATCTTTGGTTATGGAACACACAGAAAATTCTCCATCATGCACTCACTTTCTCTCTCAAACACTTACTACACTTCACAGATGGCCTAATCCTGTCTTGTTCCAGTCTTTCATGTCATCGGCCTAAGAGAAGCTGACATACAGATAGTGATCAATAAATACCATGTCCATCTTTCTACCTGTTCTCACCTATAAGATAGGGATAATCATTGTACTAACCTTATACAGCCCTATAGGACTGATATAAGGATTAAATATGGCAATGCATGTGCCTATCTAATGAGAGTGCCTATGACACACTAAGTGCTCAATAAATGTTAACTTCACTACTATTACATTATTGACAATATAATAATAATAAAGCTTTGTGCGAACACCAGATATTGCTCCTAGGAGCCACTACTGCCTAAGTTACAGGATAAAGGAAATGTCTTCCTCACCTCGGTCTCTGGAGAAGCAGCTGCAAGGCATTTCTGAGCTGCCTCTTGAGTCATGAACTGAGCAAAGGCACAGCCTGCACAGAGAGACAAAATCAAGTGAAATGCAAAATTCCCATGGCCCACAAAGAAGCCAAAACCCACACACAAATAGTGGCAGCCTGACGCAAGTGGAAAGAGTGTTAGCATCCTTTTGTTAAATACCATTGACACAGACACTGTGTCAGTCACTGAAGGGTCAAAGACAGATAAAATAGCATATCTGCTCACAGTAAAATGTTACTACTTCCTTCACCTTTTCCAATGCTTCTCAAACTTTACTCTTATCATCTCTCTCCTTAATAACAAATATCCACAAGAAATGCTGGAGATATTCCAGTCTAATGTTTTATTCAGCATCATCTACTGCATGCCTATTAGAGGATTTTAAAAAAGAGGCAGAGCCCTGGCCAGTTTTGCTCAGTGGTTAGAGCGTCGGCCCACGGACCAAAGAGTCGCGGGTTCGATTCTGGTCAAGAGCACATACTTCAGTTGCGGTTCATCCCCAGCCCTGGTTGGGGTCATGCAGGAGGAAACCAGTCAATGTGTCCCTCTCACATCAATGTTTCTCTCTCCCTCCCTCCCACTCTATCTGAAGATAAATAGAAAAAAAAATCCTCAGGTGAGGATTAAAACTAACTAACTAACTAAATAAATAAATAAATAAACATAAAAATGAGGCAGCAACTACTTAACGCTGAAATTAATTACAGATCTCACTGTCACCACTGTTACTTGGGAGGCATTAGATAAGGGGACACCTGCCTCTTGGAGTAAAAGGCCCAGGCCCCTATCAAATGAATCTAGCAGTAAACCAGAAAGCCACGAGCTCAATTCTTAACTCACAGTCTAGAATTTCAACAGGTATACTGCCTTTCACTGGTTAGATGCAGGGTCAATCAACCCACACTAATTTCTGCTACTGATAAAAAAAAAAAAAAAAAAAACCTTTTATACGCAAAGAAAAAAGAAAGTTAACTTTATAGCAAACTCCACAAAAAAAAAAATATATAAGCTTCATAGGGCTACTGAGGCACTGATCTTTTGTCCCCTATAAGAACCCAAGTGTTGCCCTGGCCGGTTTGGCTCAGTGGTTAGAGTGTCCGCCTGCGGTCCGGAGAGACCCAGGTTCAGTTCCCGCTAAGGGCATGTACCTCGGTTGCAGTTTGTCCCCGGCCCTGGTTGGTCGTGCGGGTGGCAGCCACTCGATGTGTCCCTTTCACATCGATGTTTCCCTCTCTCTCTCTTCCTCTCTCTCCCTCCCACTCTGTCTGTACAAAAAATGGAAAAATGTCCTCGGATGAGGATTAAAAAAAAAAAAAAAAAAAGAACCCAAGTGTTGCCCTGGCCAGTTTTGCTCAGTGGTTAGAGCATCAGCCTGCGGTCCAGAGAGACACGGGTTCGGTTCTCGCTAAGGGCATGTACTTTGGTTGCAGTTTGCCCCCCGCCCTGGTTGGGTCGTGCAAGTGGCAACCACTCGATGTGTCCCTTTCATGTTGATGTTTCTCTCTCCCTCTCTCCTTCTCTCCCTCCCACTCTATCTGAACAAAAAAACGAAAAAAATGTCCTCGAGTGAGGATAAAAAAAAAAGAACCTAAGTGTTGCTCAGCCAGTGTGGCTCAGTGGATTGAGTGTCATCCCATGGACTGAGAGGTCACAGTTCGATTCCCGGTCAGGGCACGTGCCTGGGTTGCAGGCTTGATCCCCAGTAGGGGGCATGAAGGAGGCAGCTGATAGATGTATATCTCTCACACAGATGTTTCTCTTTCTTTCTCCCCTCCTCTCTCTCTAAAAAAAAAAAAAATCAATAAAAATATTTGAAAAAAAAAAGAACCCAAGGGTCACCATCTAGTGAGGTCTTTCCTGCCTCCTCTAGGCACAGCTGAGTGCCCGCCCTGCCAGTCCTTCACTCACATGTCCATTACAGCACCCTTCAGACAGCATCTTCCCAAAAAGACTGGATGTCTCAAGAATAAGGACCATGTTTCTTGGCTGTTTCTATATCCCTAGTACCTACCATAATGCCCAGCATTAATAAATACTCAATATGAAGAAACAATTTTTAAAAATGGGGAAAAATATTTCTAATAGGCACAGAATCCTATGTGTCCAATATGAAGAAATGGGTACTTCTCTCTGAATTGGAAAGAATTTTATCAATGGAATTTCCAGGGCCAGTACTGGGTTCAGTCTTAACACTTCCGTAAAAGTCTGCAGATAATATTTAGCTCTTCCAGGCTGTGAATAGCATGTTAACAGAGATAAACTGGAGGAGGAGGAGGCCAAGGCTGTATGAGTGAGTAGGCAGAAAAAGTGCCAGAAAAATTTAATATTATCTAGGAAAAGACATGCATTAAAAAAAAATAATGAGCCCTGGCCGGTTTGGCTCAGCAGTTGGAGCACTGGCCTACAGACCAGAGAGTCCCAGGTTCGGTTCCCACCAGGGGCACATATAAAAAAAAAACATTAAAAAAAATAAAAATAATAAAAACTATGCTTATTAAGATCATTAACTCTCAGCTAACATTAACAGACTAAGATAGAGATTGAAGCAAGTCAACTACAGACTATATTCTGAAAATATCAACCCAATACACCACTCACTCAAAAAGGGACAAAAGACATCACAGTAAAGCAAAATCCTACTTGAACTTGGAACATTCTATGCAATTCTAATTTCCCACTTTTAGAAAAACATACTGGAAATGGAGAATGTACAAGAAGTATAATTGAATAGCAGAGCTTAAGGCACCTTAAGTGATTACTCTAGTTGAACCCACTAATTTTACAGATAAGAAACTAAAGCCCACTGTGGTTAAATGATTTGCCAAAAATCACCCAGCTGGTCCATGGCTTAGCTGGGATTAGATCCCTAATCTCCAGGAAGCAGTTCCATTTTCTTTCCATCATAAGGCCTTATGTACATCTTTTTGAGCTAAGTAAAACCCCAAAATGCTCAGGTCTCATCAGTTTGGAAAATAAGAAGATTTAGAATGTAGGTTAATAATCCATGGATAGGCTCCAGAGAGCCCACAAACCCTCAGAAGTGGCATTTTTCTGAGGAGAGGTTTCATAGCTTTTGGCAAATAGCAAAGGAATCAAGAATCACAATGAATTAAGAATTCACTGCTTTAAGAGAACAACTGCTATTGATGAAAGCAAAGATTATGAATAATAATATACTGAAATGAGGAGTGGTCAACCCTGGAAGCTCAAAGGAAATAGCTTTAGGGGAAAAAAATGTAAGGCAGCACTCCTGTTACACAGTTTTCTTTCTGACTGTTACCACTGCAACGAAGTTCCTACCAGCTTCCATCTCTAACAAACACAACTAAAAAAGATCCCAGTAATGTCAAGCAATGTGGAATAATTAGTACCCATGAGATGCTATCACATTTGAAATTCAAAGAACAACAAACGGAATTCATTACCCTAAAGTAAATAAGTAAGGGCTTAAAAAGCTTATATAAAATGAATTTGACCTCATGGAAGGCAATCTCAGAACATCCTTGCTGCTCCTATGAACCACAGAAGCCTGGGCTGAATATGAACCCCTGAAGGAGTCAGTGCCCATGGCAGTAGCTTCACTTTTTTAGGAACTGACCAGCTGAGAGCAAATACCTTTAGAATGCTCTGTGTCTGGATGCAAGACAATGCAGACATATTTAAGATCTCCAAATTGCTGGAGGAGCTCCCCAAGTTCTTCTTCCTCTGAGTCAAAGGACAGGTTTCTGTGGAAGACAATTAGGTCACAAGAAAGGTCAATTACAAAAGTGAGATCCCGTGTTCTGTTTACAAAACGAGCAAGTCAGACACTAACTAGAGTGGTTCCCTTGCTCATGACTACCCTCCCTTGTTCAGGAACAGCACCAACAGGGGTGGCCTCCAGTGCCCAGATTTCGGATAGATGACTCTGCCCCTTGACTTTCCTATGTCAGTCAGATTCTACCCTCCCAGGAATTCAGAACTTGAACAAAGACCAGAAGTTGCAGATGCAGATTCACTTTGAAACAGCAGTGCCCCAGCCAAGAGAAACTTCCAGGGAGCTGAAAATGTTCTATTATCTTGATCTGGGTGGTGGGTTACATGGGATATATGTATACATCCATATACATAAACATGTATCTGTAAATGTATATATATGCTCATATATATAAATATTAAAAATTTCACTGAATTGTACACTTAGATTAACGCACCTACAGAGTTTATTATACTTTAAGAAGTTAAAAAAAAAATGGTAAGGTGTCCTCAGAGAAAAAACCCACAACCTCTTGCAGCGAAGGTCCCAGTACTGCCCAGAGTTTCATTCCCTCTTGAGGTTTGCTCTTGACAACTTTGACTCTGTGAGCCAACCTAACAAGAAATCTGCTTTTTCACTTAAATTGGACAAAGTTACTTTCCCTTATTACAAACAAAACACTCACAGAAGACTAATGAGAAAAGTAAAATATGTCTTTCTCTTCTTTCGATTAGCCATTTTCTCTTCCCTGTTGCTATGAAATCTAGGTTTCAGTTAAAATTTTACAAAAGTCATAAAATCCCTCAAGTGAAGAGATTAGAAAGTACAAATTGGTAGTTACAAAACAGTCATGTACAGCATAGAAATATTGTCAATAATATCGTAATAACTATGTAATGGTGCCAGGTGGGTACTAGACTTATTGAGCAGATAACTTCGTAAATTATATAATTCTCTAATCACTATGCTCTACACTTGAAACTAATATAAAATAATATTGAATGTCAACTGTAATTTTAAAAATATTTTAAAGAATTAAGAAACTTTGCCCCGGCCAGTGTGGCTCAGTGGATTGAGCATCATCCCATGGACTGAGAGGTGCCAGTTCAATTCCCAGTCAGGGCACATGCCTGGGTTGTAGGCTCAATCCCCAGTAGGGGGCGTGCAGGAGGCAGGCCATCGATGTTTCTCTCTCACATCAATGTTTCTATCTCTCTCTCCCTTCCTCTCTCTAAAAAAATCAATATAAACATATTTAACAACAACATTTTTTTAAAGAAAATCCTTCAAAATAACTCAAAGACAAACATGGTAAAGTTTGTGGCTAAGTGCAGAAAAAATAAAACTACATATTTCTCTCCATGGGATTAAAAAATGTTGGAAGGAGATTTTGTTCTACTAAATTTCAACACAGTGTGCAGTCCTCACTTCCCCGGCTCTGCACAGCCTTCCAGGGGTAAGAACAAGTCCCAAATAAAAATCTATAATTTTACTTCTTTTAAACTCAGTTAACAACCTCATAAATGAGTCTATCTTAAGGGGTAACTGAGGTCTTAGCTACATTACTTCTAATTTGCCTCATCATGTACATAAATTTTCTTTCTTCCTTTCCTTTACCTTCCTAAGTTCTTTGTTAATTTATTATGTTTTTAAATATATTGTATTGATTTTTTAGAGAGAGAGGAAGGGAGAGAGGGAGAAAGATCAATGTGAGAGAGTTACATCAATCAGCAGCCTCCTGCACGCCCCCTGCTGGGGATCGAGCCTGCAACCTGTGCATGTGCCCTGACCAGGAATCGAACCAGGACATCTCAGTCCATGGGATGATGCTCAATCCACCGAGCCACACTGGCTGGGCAGTTCTTTGTTAATTTAAAAGATGTAGCTCTGGCCGGTTTGGCTCTGTGGTTGGAACATCGGCCTGTGGATCAGAGTCCCGGGTTCAGTTCCCACTAGGGGCACATACCAAAAAAAAAAAAAAAAGATGTATAAGGGCCCTGGCCAGTTTTGCTCAGTGGTTAAAGCGTCGGCCCGTGGACCAGAGAGTCCTGGACTCAATTCCCGCTGGGGGCACATACCTTGGTTGCAGTTTGTCCCTGGCTCCGGTTGGGGTTGTGTGGGTGGCAACCACTCGATGTGTCTTTCTCACATCGATGTTTCTCTCTCTCCCTCCCACTCTATCTGAAGATAAATGCAAAAATGTCCTTGGGTGAGGATAAAAAATATATTTAAAAAAAGAGATGTATAAGGAATGGTATCTTTGGTATTGAGGTCACGGGCTTCTAAGTGTGATGTTTCTTCCTTCCTATTAGAATACTCCATGAGTACAAAATTACTTATATGGCAATTCCACATAACACAGTAAAAAGAAATTATGGAGACATGTTGTAAAAAAGGAAAATGGGTTACAGCACAGCATGTATAAGCTAAACTCATCTTCGTAAATATTTATGATGATGTGGGCATGTGTGTGGGTGTTCTCCGAGTAGTGATTAAGGTTAATGTTTTTGTGTCTTTCTGCACATTTATTTCCTACACTAAACATAAATTACTTGTATAATAAAAACAATAAAAACACCCTTAAAACATTGTACAGGAGGATAAAATACACTTCTCTCAAATAAGATTCAAATGGCCCTGCACTTTGGTACTTAAGAAAGAACAAGAAAGCATATTGGAGGTGTGCTGAAGAAATCCCAACCTTCTGAAAATGCTTATCTATTCCAGTCAGTAGGACTAAAATAGCAAAGGCAACATGAAATTAAACCCATCTTCACCCGACTCCCTCCCTCAGTATACCTAGAAACAGACAGAAAGTCTTACTTTATTGTGGACACTACTTTAGAAAATAAGCTAGACACGAAGAGAGAAATTATTTGGGACAAGTGGTTTTACCCCTCCCCAGCATTCCCCTTAAAACAAAGGCCAGCAAGCAAGATGTTTCTCATAGCTGAAGAACTGATTTGTTCCAAATGATGCCATCCCAATTATAAAGAATGAAATCTAAATGAGGACAATATAAGATGACCCCTGCTATTTACTTTATGTATATAGTTCTGATTCACCTATGTTTCTCATTGTTTAGTAAGTTCCTAGAGCCAGATATGCTAGTGGTCTTAGGGGCATCTACCTTTCTGGCCTAGCTAACAGAACTAGTGCAAAAAAGAAAAAAGAAAAAAAAAGGAACTGAGAAAGTTAAGAGAAACCTATGATGGCAACACAAATAGAGCAGTTCTTGAAGGGAAAAGGCATACCTTATAAATACAGTTTTCCCTTCATTCACATCGGAGGGTAATTTCCTCTTCTTTTTCTTTGAGACTTGTACATCTAAAGTAAAATGAAAAACAACATTCTTCATAAATGTAGCAATAGGGTTTAGTTCCAGTTTTACAAAATCCCCTAAGAGGTCCTTTGTCCCCATCTCAACTCAAAAGCTGAGTTTTGCCCTGACCGGTTTGACTCAGCGGTTGGAGTGTTGGCCCATGGACTGGAGGGTCCCGGGTTCGGTTCCTGCTAAGGGCATGTGCCTTGGTTGCGGTTTATCCCCGGCCCTGGTTGGGGTTGTGTGGGTGGCAACCAGTCGATGTGTCTCTCTCATGTTGATGTTCCTCTCTCTCTCTCCCTCCCACTCTATCTGAAGATAAATGCAAAAAATGTCCTCGAGTGAGGATAAAAAAAAAAAAAAAACCAAAAAGTTGAGTTTTGAGTTAAAAGACCTTGGTTTTAGATATAATATCCTGTTTATCCAGTTATTCATTCAACTTGATCGAGAGAGGGATAGGATCTCAGAATTAAGCTATGTTTTAAATTCCCTAGGAATCCGCCTGGTTAGTGTGGGTCAGTGGTTAAGTGTCAACTCATGCACCAAGAGGTCGCCAGTTCGATTCCCAGTCAGGGCACATGCCCAGGTTGTGGGTCTGATCCCCAGTGGGGGACATGCAGGAGGCAGCCAATCAGTGTTCTCTCTCATCGATGTGTCTATCTCTTTCTCCCTCTAAAAATCAATAAAGAAAAAAAATTAAATTCCCAGGAATCTTAACCCTCAAAAACAACTCCAAACTCATAAAAAAAAAAAAAAAAATTACAAGGTTTTCATCTTTAGCATTTCACCATAAATTTGACAGGATGCCATAGGGTCCTATTTAAAGAGGCTTGTGCTGCACTGATGCACATTTCTCGATATTAATTTAAATTTGAAGATCCCAGGCAAACCTTCATCCTCTTGCTCTTCAGTGTCGGCATCGCTCTGAGCCGGTTCCTCTCCACTGTCAACACTGTCACTTCCCTCCAGGCAGCTGTCCTCATCGGAATGATCCTCTTCACTGCTTTCTGTAGGCGCTGCTCTCTGGACTGCTCTGCAAAGGCACAGTTCAGAACTAAGGACCTGGGTGGACAGAGGGGGCTATCCAATTTCATATGCATGTCAATTCTGCAATTATGGGGGCAGAAAAAGTCCTTTTCCCCCCCCCAGAGACCATCCTGAATCTTCCTCTGTTGTCTCAGAACAAGCTGGGCTGCTTACCTCTTATAAATTTGCACAGGCTTGGTCACCTTTGGTTCTTTATTCTCCTCCTGCTCTTCTTCATCACTATCATCATTATCCTCTTCCTCTTCCATATCACCATCATCATCCTCTTCCTCTCCCATACCCTCTTCTTTCCTGCCATTCTCTTTACCTAATTTCTGATGTTTAGGTTCAGGTTGCTTCTCTTCACCTACACAGGGACATAAGAAAGTTAAAAATTAATTCAGTATCTAAAATGAGGTTATTTTAACAAGAGTAACTAATACCATCAAGGTCCTAATTCCTTTAGTTTTACAGAATCTCAAGTATTTTTCTTACTGTATGGAATAAAAGTAAGTATGAAGAAAAAAAATAACAAAAGCACCTCATCACTGAGAGTCTCTTGGAGTCTGTCCCATTAACTCATCGAAAGCCTGAAGGTTATCCGGCTCAGAGTAAGAGAAGCAGCAGCTGAGCCTCCACAAATAGCCCACCATCATGCACAGAGCCAACACAACGCACACTCTGGAGCCCAGCCATAAACTTTAAGCTTGGTAAGTTCTGTTCTCTGAGCTCCTGGTAGCCTAAAAGCCAACTGCTTTCTAAATAAAACACAAGTTTTAATTTTCCCTATTCTTAATGTTCCATCATTCCTTACTATGAAAAGCTGAGAAAAAATAGCAAGTAGAGGGAACAATGAACTTGGACCCACTCCTCACTCACATCCACACCCAGGAGTGGGCTTCAACTCAAAAGATCCTATGTTTTGGGACCAGATCACCAAACGGGACAATATGAATTGACAAACAGCTCTGGGTTTCTGAGCCAGCAGGAATTCAGAGTTTTTCTTGCTCCTCAGTCTCATTTTTTTTTTTTTTTTATAATCTTGGTGCTTTTGGTATCTCCAGCCCAATATCCTCACTGACAAGCAGGTTCCTTTCTACTTTTATTGAGTTGTTTCTACAATCACCCCAAAGCATACAATCCTTCCTTCCCAATACCACATCTTACCTGGGTCAGAGGCAGACTGTGTATTTTTATATTTATCCTTTGCCACGGCCCAATCCACAGCTACTGTCCGTCCTATCAGACAGAAAAGTAACATCTTTTAACACTTCTATCTCCTGTAAATGACTGTTTATTCATCAAAGACAATAAAGAACAAAAGGAGAAAAATTACCTGCCAATCCTAGTAGCTATCTATTTTTTTTTAAACCGTAACTTTTTATCAATGAACAGAAATTTTGCCTTTCTACACAGCCACCACACTGAGTTATACCTGGGATAAGGTATACTTTTTAAAAATAATTAAAACAGCCCTGGCCAGTTTGGCTCAGCGGTTAGAGCGTCGGCCTGCGGTCCGGAGAGACCCGGTTCCCGCTAAGGGCATGTACTTCGGTTGCAGTTTGTCCCCGGCCCTGGTCGTGCGGGTGGCAGCCACTCGATGTGTCCCTTCACGTCGATGTTTCTCTCTCTCTCTCTCTCTCTCCCTCCCACTCTATCTGTACAAAAAAATGGAAAAATATCCTCAGGTGAGGATTAAAAAAATAATAATAATTAAAACAGTGCTTCCAGTTAGACCAACAAGTTTCCAGTTAGACTAGCAAGAGAAAAAACAGGCATTCTAGAATAATTTACACCAAATTCAGAAGTTAGGAAGTCTCTAAGCCAATCCCTTTTTTTTTTAATCCTCACCGAGGATATTTTTCCATTTATCTTTAGATAGAGCGGGGAGGGGGGGGGGGGAGAGAGAGAGAAAGAGAGAGAGAGAGAGAGAGAGAAACATCGATGTGAAAGAGACACATTGATTGGCTGCCACCCACGTGACGCCATCCAGGGCTAGGGATGAACTGCAACTGAGGTACATGCCTTCGGCTGGAATCAAACCTGGGACTCTTAGGGCCAACGCTCTAACAGCTGAGCCAAACCAGCCAGGGTGCCAATCCCTTCTTTAGCACCTGGTAAACAATACCCACAGTAGCCTCATTGGTGGCTTAGTAGCCCACATATGCTGAATAATGCTTATAACCAAGAGGGAAAAACATGCAAACCCCACAACCCCTAGACAGAACTTGCATCTACCAGTGATTATTTCAGGGCCATTTTTTTCATTGGGAATTTAAAAGAACACTCATCCCCAAATAAAGAAAAGAGAATAATGCCCTGGCCAGTTTGGCTCAGTGGTTACAGCGTCAGCCTGCAGATCAGAGAGTCACAGGTACGATTCTGGTCAAGGGCACATACCTCAATTGCAGAATGGTCCCCAGCCCTGGTTGGGGTCGTGTGGGAGGCAACCAATCGATGTGTCTCTCTCACATCAATGTTTCTATCTATCTATCTATCTATCTATCTATCTATCTGAAGATAAAATGAAAAAAAGTATCCTCGGGTGAGGACTGAAAAAAAAATAGAGAATAATGAAATGGGTTCTTTTGAGGTCAATCCTAAGATCAAGTGTTAGGAATATTCAGCAAAAATAGCTTTTATGTTAGTAGTAAGACTCAACAATGCAAATACCTGTTGAAAATGTAGCAAGTGGGTTACTGTGCTAATTCAACCAAACACCAGAAATATCTGGGTCAACGGTATGGGTATAGAAAACTTACCCTTTATCTCTTTCATGTTCATGTTTTTGAGAGCTTTTCCTGCTTCTAGGAGGTTTTTGAACTGAACAAAAGCAAAACCACGCATCTTTCCATCTGTGTGCAAATGTACAAAGATGTTAGAAGCAGCAGGTGGGGAGCCAACAGACCTAAGAAGGAATATACAGCAACACAGGCTCGTAAGGTGGCCCAAATTCTGCTAACCAGCCAGCCTCTTGCCCAAAGCTTATGTCCTCCTGTTGAGTATACCCTGACTTGGGCTTAGAGAGCAGTGTGTTTCTAACTTGTCTTCTAAAACTAGTTCTGATCTCACTAAAAACACCATCAGGGGTTATCTAAACTAAAAATACATAACTAAATACCACCAGCACTATTACATGAGTGTTTATTACTTTCCAAGTACTGTGCCTAATACTTTATATATATATATCACATTATCAGGGGCTCACAAAGAGTATGACATGGACCTAGCATTTCTAGTTCTAATGATACTTAGTTCAAGGGTAATATGGAAAAAGACCATGTGTTAATTAATATTCATCTAATCCATACCAAATGAAGGTTTGCTAGTACCTGGCTTCCTAGGGATGTTAACTTCCAGGACAGCTCCATACTGAGCAAATATTGTCTTCAAGTCATCTTCCGAACACTGAAGACAAAAGTAAAGAAAAAAAAAAAGAGAGATCATCTCAGCAAATAAACATGAAAATTTAATTACTAAATTTGTTCATTAGGAAAAACCTGAGTATTTTTACTCCTTTTTTACTTTTGAAACTAGGACAAACATTTCTAAATAGAAAACATCTTGCTCTGTATCTAAGAAGTGGAAAGCACAGGTATCAGAGGGCTTTTCTTTCCCGCCCTTTCTCAGGAAGGCATCTTCCCTATTGTCTTAAGTTCTTGTTTATACAGGACCATTTTTTAAATTCAACGAGGCTAAGGTCCATTCCCAAAATGCATTATGTCCAATTTACCATCCTGGTGAGGAGCTCCACTCGTGAGCACCAACAGCTTTCAGAACAGCACTATTAGTGTTCTCTGTCACTCACCTTAAAGCTCAGATTCCGAATAATTAATCTGGCTTTCTTATCTACCACTTTGGCTTTTTTAGGCTTCTGCTCCTTCTTTGGAGACTCTGAATTTTCTAAAAAAAAAATAAAGAGGGAATGGAATAAGGCTGTGCTCCAAAACCACCCACCCTGAGGCCCAAAACATCACAGGAAAAAAGCTACTAGCAACAGATGGCATTTACCACAGGGGCCAGTATGGCAACACCCAGGGCCACCAGATTTTCCAGACTTAGAAGTAACCAAAAGACTAAAATGAATACCAAAATACACTGGATAATTTTGGATATCAAAACCAAATTCAGTAAGCTCTAAATTTAGAAGCTTCCCTCACCCTCACCCCGACATTCCACCTCCTCCTTACCCTGGGAGAAAACTCCCTTCAGTTACTAGACACTCACCATTTCCCCTCTTTTCCTTGGACCTGTTCCTCAGTTTTTTCTTGGCAACACTCACACTGATCTTGCAGCCTTCAAAGGTAGTAATCTCCTTGAGGGCCCTCTGAACATCTTCCAGCATAGAAAAAGTGACATAGCCAAAGCCTCGACATGCCTTGCTCCCTGAAGGTAAGGGGGCGGGGGAGAGATCATCATCAGCCAGGAGCCCTACCTACCCAGTAAATTCTCCAAGCCCGAAACTAGCAGACACACTGCCAAGCCACCCTATCATCAGTTTGCCAAAACCCTCGGGAGGAATAGAAACAAGGTTGACACCAGTGGCTCCTTTACTTTACTCAGAACTTGTTAGGTTTCACCCTGGCCGGTTTGGCTCAGTGGTAGAGTGTTGGCCCGCAGACCAATGAGTCGCGGGTTTGATTCCGGTCAAGGGCACATACCTCGGTGGCGTCATCCCCGGCCCTGGTCAGGGTCATGTAGGAGGCAACCAGTCCATGTGTCCCTCTCATGTTGATGTTTCTCTCTCTCCCTTTCTCTCCCTCTCTCTTCCTCCCACTCTATCTGAAGATACATAGAAAAAAAAATAACCTCGGGTGAGGATTAAAAAAAAAAGAACTTGTTAGGCTTCCTTTTCTAATTTGGTGTCTTTGGATGTTGGCTCCTCTTCTTCCTCCTTTGCTGATAATCTGAAGATTATGTAGGATCCATGATAAATATTATACCCCCAGCCCTGGCTGGTTTGGCTCAGCGGTTAGAGCATCAGCCTGCAGACCAAGGAATCCCAGGTTCGATTACAGCCAAGGGCACATACCTCAGTTGTGGTTAGTCCCCAGCCCTGGTTGAGGTCATGCGGGTGGCAACCAGTTGATGTTTCTCTCTCTCTCTCCCACTCTGTCTGAAGATTAATGTAAAAATATCCTTGGGCGAGGATTAAAAAAAAATATATATATATATATACCCCCAAAGAACTCAACATCGAATAGAAAGGAACATCACCAGAGAGGGTAAGAATGGTAAGCTTGGTAGCTTCAAAAATCACATGCAATAACGCAGCTCCTCTTCAGAACAGATCAGTAATGATGCCGGAGAGAAGCCCTGACAAAAGAATCTCAAACAATAAGCACTGCTTTGGGAGCTTGTAGATAACCATTATTACCAACCTTTAGTGATCAATACCAAATTAAACCTTTCCAAAGCAGCTGTAAATCTCTTATCTCACTTCATCTTCAGAACACACTAAGGTAATTAAAACAAATATTATCATCCCTTCTTTCCAAATGAATAATTTGAGACACAGAAAAGTAAGTGAATTGGTTAATGTCCCCCAGGGTATTAGTACCAGAATTAATTCTTCATTACCAGCTTCATGTTCTTTCCATGGGACTCCATCAATATAATGGCCACAGAGAAGAATATTAGGATCAAGCAAATTAATAGTTACAAAAAAAAAAAGAAAACCAAAAAACTCTAACCTGCCTCTGCCTTTTTAGGTATGCTTTTTTTTTTTAAGCTTTTATCTATTTATTTAGAGGAAGAGAGAGAGAGATAGAAACATCAATATGAGAAAGAAACATCAATCGGTTGCCTCCTGCACATCCCACACCAGGGATCAAGCCCACAACCAGGTTTGTGCCCTGACTGAGAATCGAACAGGGACCTCTCAGTCTATGGGACGACACTCAGTCCACTGAGCCACAGGGGCCAGGCAATGGTATGCGTTTGTTTGTTTTAACATTTTTTGCATAGTAAAATTTTAAGTAATTTACTGCACCAAAAAGGAAAAAGACAGACCAAGTAGTCTGCCTACTACCCAAAGAAGAAACACAGCTCACATGTTCTGCTTCTTTTTCCAAGTACAACTGAACCTGCTTCAGGTACAAGCCCTCAAACACAGGACACTGACCCACCTAAACTGGTTCAAGTTGACACTTAGCACTAGGAAAGCATACTGTGATGGGGAGATCAGTTTCTTTTCTCTTGCAACCATTTCTCACAAAGTCTGCCCACTCACTTTTCAGAAAATAAGACCAAGAAAAAGCAGGGCCCTTCCTGCTCAGTACAACCAAAAGCTGCTGAACATGAAGAAGTTCAGTGCCAAAATAAAAACATGTACCCACAACAAATGTCAGGCATGGTTTATGCCTGCACAAAGCACTCACATATTTACTTGAATTCTCAAAACAATCCTGAGAAATGATCCCCATCTTAAAGAGGTTAAGTGGCATGCCCGACGCAGAGTAAGACTTCATCCCACACCCTCCCTCCCATCCCACTAGGTGCAGCACTCTTTCCAATACATCAGGCTGTCTGCACAGAAAAGTATTGGTTTCTTAATAAGAAAATGAGAGCTTTCTTTAAAGATTTAAACCACATACACAAGGTAAAAGGTAAGGTTACATGTAGCCTATTTTCTAAGGACCCAAAGAACTCCCACTCAACGGCCTGTTCTTCCTTGAAATACACACTGTAGTTTTTCTTAAATTTTTTTGACAGCCCACAGTAATGAACGTAACTCATTATGTGAACCCAGACCATATATAAATATACATGTGTGTGTGTGTGTGCATACACACCTTATACACATTTTTTTTTCTTTATTGATTTTAGAGAGAGGAGGGAAGAGAGAGGGAGAGACAGAAACATCGATGAGAGAGAACATCAACTGGCCGCCTCCTGCATGGCCCCCATTGGGGATCTGGCCCTCAACCTGGGCCTGTACCCTGACCGGGAATCAAACCACTGACCTCTTGGTGCATGGGTGGACACTCAATCACTGAGCCACACCAGCCGAGCACTTATATAGATATATTTTTAAGTTTTATGAATACTTATGTTTTACCATATATGGATATACTCCTAGTTCATTTAAAAATTCTAGTCAAAACTCACTAATGGGCCGGTTTGGCTCAGCGGTTAGAGCATCGGCCTACAGTCCAGAGAGACCGGTTCAGTTCCCGCTAAGGACACGTACCTCGGTTGCAGTTTGTCCCCGGCCCTGGTTGGTCGTGCTGGTGGCAGCCACTTGTGTCCCTTTCACGTGGATGTTTCTCTCTCTCTCTCTTCCTCTCTCTCCCTCCCACTTTATCTGAACAAAAAATGGAAAAATGTCCTCGGGTGAGGATAAAAACAACAACTCACTAATGGGTAATGATCTGCAGCTTAAGAAACATTGCTGTATAGCACTCTCATTTTCTCATTCAGCCATATCTATACTTAAAATGACAAAAGAACCAGGCAGATGCAATGGTTCGTATAGCAATCAGAGCCACGTTGACAATCCTACTCTAATTTATTTTACTAACAAAATAGAAGCTAAGGATGGAGTCATTGTTAACACATCATCAGCCTGCCTACTCACATATTCAGACACCATGGGGTGGGGGTGCACAAGATGCCAGTTCCCACTACTTGTTCTGCTGAAAGGCAAAGAGGCAGCCACCCAGAGACAGCCCGATGACTTAAAAGGAAACTAAATGTATGTTCGGGTAACATCAGGTGCCTATCTTGAGTATCCCTTGAAGTCTAGGTAAGAGAAAGGAATGCTTCTACAATTAAAACCCTTACAATTCATCCTCATTCTCATACATGGCAACCCTTCCTCACAGTGATGTGATGAGCATCAAATAGAACATGAAGTATACAGCAGTATTCCACAAGTCAATAAGTATCTCCAGTGACTCAAGCCAAAAACCTTGGACTCAGACTTGACTCTTTGACTCCTCTTTTTCTCATACCCCACATCTGATCCATCAGCAAATCCTCTCAGCTCAATCTTTAAAAATATCCATATTCTGCCCTGGCCTGTGTGGCTCAGCTGGTTGAGTGTGGTTCGATTCCCAGTCAGGGCACACACCAGGTTGTGGGTTCGAGCCCCGGTCCAGGTGTGTACAGGAGGTAACCAATTGATGTTTCTCTCTAAAATGAATAAGAATGTATTTTAAAAGCTATCCATATTCTACCCATGGCTACCATCCTGGTCCAACACCATGATCTCTCACCTGGATTACTGCAAGAGGTCTCCCTGTTTCTATCCTGTTTTCCAACAGCCTATTCTCAACAAAACGGCCTGACAGAATCTTTCAAAATATAAGCCAGATCGCCCTGGCCGGTTTGGCTCAGCAGTTAGAGCGTCGGCCTGCGGTCCTGAGAGACCCGGGTTCGGTTCCCGCTAAGGGCGCGTACTTCGGTTGCAGTTTGTCCCCGGCCCTGGTCGGTTGTGCGGGTGGCAGCCATTCAATGTGTTCCTTTCACATCGATGTTTCTCTCTCTCTCTCTGTTCCTCTCTCTAGCCTCCCACTCTACCTGAACAAAAAATGGAAAAATGTCCTCAGGTGAGGATTAAAAATATATATATATATATATAAATATATAAGCCAGATCATACTTACTGTTCCTTGCTCAAAACCAGCAGTTTCCCATTTCAGGTAAAAGCCAAACTCCTTGCAATAGCCTATGAGCTTCTACCTGATCTGAACCTAGATTTCATCTCCTAATTCCTTCCTGTCACTCACTTCACTCCAGTCACCCTGCTCTCCATGCTATTCCTCCAATATCCCAGGCCAGTCCTCAGTATCCTTGAGTTGAAGTTTCTCTGCCTAGACTGTTCCTCCCCCATGACAGACACATGTTCACCCTCTCACCTCCAGGCTTTCCCTGGCTACTCTATCTGTAACTGGCAGTACTCTATACCTCTTATACATCCCCCACCCCCAGCAAAACACACACACAGACTCCCTATCCTTCTTTGCTGAGATATTTTTTCCCTTAGTATTTACCACCATTATTGCTATATATTTTGCTTATTTGATTATTGGCTGTCTTCCTCATCTTGAAGACATAAATAAGAGCAAGGTTTTAGGTTTGGTTTTGTGCACTGCTGTATCCCTAGGACCTATATCAGTGCCTGGCACATAGTAGGCATTCAATAAATATTTGTAGCCCTGGCCAGTTTGGCTCAGCGGTTAGAGCGTCGGCCTGCGGTCCAGAGAGACCCGGGTTCGGTTCCCGCTAAGGGCACGTACCTTGGTTGCAGTTTGTCCCCGGCCCTGGTTGGTCGTGCGGGTGGCAGCCACTCGATGTGTCCCTTCACGTCGATGTTTCTCACTCTCTCTCCCTTCCTCTCTCTCCCTCCCACTCTATCTGTACAAAAAATGGAAAAATATCCTCGGGTGAGGATAAAATAAATAAATAAATAAATAAATATTTGTAAATAACTGAGTAAATGATGGTTAAGTGCTCCAGATCTGGTGATCAAATTCTGGGTCTGCTAATTACCAGCTGTACAACCTTAAGCTGAAGTTATCAAATTCCCCTAAGCCCTAGATTCGTCAGTCAAAAGGGGTTAAGACTCTCCATTTAACAAGAACCATGGGAAAATTAAATGAGATAACACGTGTGGAACTCAGCACCAGACCTGGCAGTCAGCTGACTCTGAATAAGACTTACTGATGTTTTATTAAAGAGATTCTATTTTCATTGTTACCAAATAAGATTTTGTATGTGAGCGTGCATAATAAACGGAAAGCACTATTTAAACTTAAGGAAATGCTTTGACTTTCAGAAACAGACCCCTATGGGGCAGAGTCAGTTGGAAAAGAAACTCAATTCCCAGACCCTTCCCTTAGGGGCGGGTAAAGAATTCCGGCACGCTGAAGTTTGGGAGGGTGTCCTCATCCCCTATCCCGCTCCCAGGAACCCCAGCCAGATCCTCGACCGCCCCGCCCCCTCACCTTTCTCAGTCACCACGAAGCACTGCTTCACCGGCCCCACCTGACTGAACAGCTCCTCCAGCTGCTCACTGCGGGCTGAGGGAGGGAGGCGGCCCACAAACAGGGTGAGCCCGGCCATCGGGCCGGGAAACAGAGGCGCGCGAGGCCGCGAACGAAGCAGGCCGGACCACGAGAGTCAAAGACCCGGCTTTAGCCCGCAGCGCACGCCAAGTTGCTGGTAAGTTCCGGAAGTGTTCTCCACTCAAAAGAATCCGAAGGGAAACGTAGTGTGACAGTGAGAAAACGTTCCGGAAAGGGGGGGGGGGGGAGGTGACTCCTGGGGCGGAGCTTCGTGAACCGGGCTCCACCCCGCTTCGTTACTTTTTACCATGCTTAAAAATCTCACTTCCAGGAGATCGTTCCCAATTTACTAGGGCAGCAGAAGTCGTTTGGCTTGCGTCCTAACCCAAGATCTGACATATAATGAATATTTAATAAATAGTTTCTGAAGTGCCACTGCAGACTCCCAGATTACGTGTATAAAATGCAGCCAGAATGCACATAGACAAAGTACATGGCAAACATCATTCAAACAATTCTCATGTTCTCAGAGAATATGAGACATCTGTCATACTGTAACAGATAACTGTAATGTGCCTGCAACGGTTCCTAGACAAATTACAGCTGCTAAAGTACACATAGAAACAGATGGTACACAATTATTCTTTCAATAAATATTTACTGAGTTCCTACTGTGTGCCAGGAGAAGGGGAAAGAAGAAAGGAAGGTGGGAGGAAGGAAGGGAAGGAAGGAAGGAAGGAAAGAGAAAGAAAGAGAGAGAAAGCAAAAGAAAGAGGGAAAGAAGGAAAGAAAGAAAGAAAAGAGAGAGAGAAAGAAAGAAAGAAAGAAAGAAAGAAAGAAAGAAAGAAAGAAAAGAAAGAAAGAAAGAAAGAAAGAAAGAGGAAAAAGGACAGGGTCCTTGCCCTCATAGAGAATACAATTAGTCAGTTAGTGCCCTGGCCAGTTTGGCTCAGCGGTTAGAGCGTCAGCCTGCGGTCCAGAGAGTCCTGGGTTTGGTTCCCGCTAAGGGCAAGTACCTCGGTTGCAGTTTGTCCCTGGCCCTGGTTGGGTCATGTGGGTGGCAGCCACTTGATGTGTCCCTTTCACATCAATGTTTCTCTCTCTCTCTCCCTCCCACTCTATCTGAACAAAATATCAAGAAATGTCCTTGGGTGAGGATAAAAATGAGAGAGAGAGAATACAATTAGTGCGAGAAGACAGATGTTAATAAAAAAATTTTACAAATGAATCACAGCGTGCACACTGGACATGAGAACACGTCCAAAGCAGATGTAACATCCAGCTTATACACACAGACCTCTAACCCAGGTCCTCCCAGAGACAGCGAAAGATTTTCCCTCAGATCAGATGCAAGGTTAAGCAGATCTCACTAGTCAGAAATCTGGGTGCTCTTGGATCCTGAAACACAGAGAATGTTTGTCATCTCATCGGGCTCAAGAATAGAGCTGTGTGCAAAACTGCAGCACCCTACAGAACATCCAGCGAGAAAAGTACCCGATGCATTTTAATAATTGCTTTTCATTCGTATAACCTGAACACATGGTAGTAAAAGTTCAAAAAGTACAAATGGTTCAATGAAAAGTAAGTTTAGCCCTGGCCGGTTTGGCTCAGCGGTTAGAGCGTCGGCCTGCGGTCCAGAGAGACCCGGGTTTGGTTCCCGCTAAGGGCATGTACCTCGGTTGCAGTTTGTCCCCAGCCCTGGTCGGTTGTGCGGGTGGCAACCACTCGATGTGTCCCTTTCACATCGATGTTTCTCTCTCTCTCTGTTCCTCTCTCTCCCTCCCACTCTACCTGAACAAAAAGTGGGGGAAAAAAAAAAGAAAAGTAAGTTTACTTTTCTCTTCAAACCCCATTTACTTTCCTTAAATTCTGGATGGATGGATGGATGGATGGATGACTGATTGACAGTAATGGAGGAAAAGGGAGAACACAGCATCCAATTTATGAAACCCTAGCTCCAAGTAAGTAATAAATACATACTTAAAAGAAAATGCCACCGTTATTTTGAAACACATAACTCAGGAGAGAAAGTATTGAAATACCAAACAGATTTCTAAGGCTATGGGGTTAATCCTATTCAGGGTAAAGAGAGACAAATAGACAAAGGAAATGGGATGTGTTATTCAAATAAAGTTGGTTTGAGATTCCACATTCCTTCCTTTTTTCCTCCTCCTCTCCTGCCCCCTCACCACTTTAGCAATCAAATTTCCATCCCTAAAGATTCAGTTGCAGACGTTAGGGCCCCAGCGATGGGGAGGCCTTCCCAGTCCTGGCTGCAGTGTGTACAGAGAAAAGAACGGGAGGAAGAGGGCTCTTCCAACATTCCTTTGGGACATTCCCTACAATGCTAAGTTTTAAATATCTAGGACCCAAACCTTCCTTAAAGGACAAAATGAAACTGTGTCCCTGTGCCCATCAGGGGGCAGCAGCCACCAACAGTGCGAAGGAGTTTTGTGCCCTAGTAGAGGATGTTGATGCAGCTGACACTTTTAACGCTTCTTAAATTTCAGACCTGGCTCCCCTCAGCCCCATCCGCTCCTATCCATTCATATCAGGGACATGACATGGTTCTTTGATCAGGAATATTTGCTCATCCATCTACCCAGGACACATACAGAGTTCTTTATTAAATAGCAGCAGTCTTGGTATCCTGCACCACACCAGCAAAGAGTCTTCCAAAGGGAAATAAACTGCTGGCCTCTCTGTCATCCATCACTGTGCAGGAGCCAGGAAAGGAAGTGTGAGAAGCCTGGGCTGTTCTCAGCCAGCCTCTCTGAAAGCCCCATCCCTCTGGCTGCACTCCCTGTTACAAGCCAAACCTTCCTATATCACTGCACACGTCTTGTTCTTAGCACTTCTCACAACTGCTATTAGTTACTTGTTCTATTATAAGTAACTCTTTAATGTCTGCCTTCCCCAAAAGACCTTCAACTTTTTAAGTTTAGGGCTAGCTTTACCTTGTTCACCTCTCTGGCCCCAGCACCTAGCACATTGTAAGCATTCAATAAAATGTTTTAAATAAATTGAATGAATGAAGATGAGTTTGTCTCTCAGTCCCCTGTTGTACTAAGAATTGGAACTGAAGGGTGCATGCATTAGGATTACCTGGACTCCTCTAGAAAATTTGCTTTGGATAAGAGCTGTTATGCGACAAAAGGAAAGGTTGTCTCACCAAAGTCTCAGCCTCCTTGTAAAGTCAAAGGTAAATTCTTTGGAAAAAGTGTTGGAACTGGTGAACAACCAGCTGTTATTTCCTTGCCCCCCCCCCCTTCCAGTCTCACCAGTTCCATTCAGATCTTCCAGACAGAAAAGAGTCAGTCTGCGAGATGGGTGTATGAGGCTTGGACTGCTTTGTCAGATGTGTTCATGAACCCAAGAACCCTTGATGGAAAGAGTGAATGAGCAGCTGGCAAGGATTAGGGTGAGGAAGAGATGGCAGAGAGAAGCTGAGTGTGGGCAGAGGCAAACAGCAAGTGCTCCTTCCGTGACACAAAGCAGCTCTGATGCTGGGGCGCTAGGGCCACCAGGACACCAGTGAGAAATGCCTGTAATTAGGAGGCTGACAGTTCTCTGGGCCTCAGCCCAGAGTGACAATACAGCAAGAATTTCTGAGCCAAGCTGAGCCAGGTGATGGGGGAGATAGAGTTGGAACCACTCCAGTCCCACCCCTCAGCCATGCCTGCCCCACCCTCCTCTCATTTTCTTCCCTAATATGACCCCTCACTGCCCCCCAAACATGACTGACTCCCCTCTTCCTTCTGAGACCTTAGGGCCTGGACACTCCTCTCAGCTCAAACAGGTCTTCATGTGCAAGGAGAGCAGTACTCTAATTCTTCCACTAGTGCACTGGGCCTCATCTCCCTGCCTGCTTCCCTCTTGGCTCCCTCCCTTCCCTTCTCAAATCCCCACCAGCTGATGGACAGAGTTGGAAGAAAAACCACGCCAGTTTCTGTTTTTGCACTTCAAGCCTAGTATGTGTGCCCCTGTAGGTCTCCCTGTAATGTGCAGGACATCTGCCAAAACACTGTCAGATTTTTGTTTTTAAACCTAATTTATGAACCGGTTTTAGTGCCACTCTGAACTTCCTGCATTTTAGCCAAATGACAAATGCACACTACAGAGCTCAGAAACAAATGGTCTGGACAAGGGCGGTATTACAATGAGTGCTCGTGGTTTGGATGCATTCATGGGTCTCTGTATTCACTGATAGGTAGGATGCGGCAGGGGTTTGGGGAAGACAGGCTTTCTTCAGCGAGGGTCTGCACCTATGGGAGATAAGTGTTCCACGGGGGAAGAAGGGTTGTGAGTCCAACCTAGAAGGGGCCCTGTGGGTGGGTGGAGCATGTGTGAATTCCTCTGGGAATGTGGCAGGAAGATTGCTGGGGCTCCCAGCTCAGGGTGATCAAGCGCTTGATATGTGTATCAACATTTCCATGGAGAACTTTATTATGAACCAGCCCCTAGCCCCTTGCACTCCAGGACCTGAAGCCAGGTTCCTAGGAATGTAGACATTTCCACCAAAGACTATAGTTTCTGCCTCACCTCTCAGGGCCATATTTCATCTCTGAAAAAGCCACTTCCTAGAGAGTCAAAGGGTCTTCAAGGGGCTGCCCCCAGGACCCTTACTCATTCCAGCCAAAGGACAAAACTCCTTGCAGTTGGGAATGAAGTTCCCTGGGGTCTGAGATGGACCCACCCCACCCCAATGCTGTTTCTCTTCCAGTTCTGGCAGAACCACTGCTGCTGTTGCCTCATCTAAGCTTTTCCAAGAAGGTCAGACCTTTCTCCTCTGAAAATATTTTATTGATAAATTAACTCTGATAGCCCTCACCTACCACCCAACAGCTGTAGAGTCTCCTAGATGGGCCATGGACCCCTCTAGAGGGAAGGGTCATGTGGAGAACAGGGAGTCTCACTCACGCAGGGATGGGGTTCCTGGGCATGGCAGAGGTGGGTATGAGGACTGAGGACCATCCTAAGGTCTTCTGAAGATAGTCCCTCTCACTCAGCACCAGAGTGGGGAGTGGCATTCGGGAGTGGAGCACCTTGGAGCTTTATTGCTGGTGAAGGCCAAGGAAAGTGGGATCCCTGCCAGCCTAGAGTTGCAGCTGAGGGCATCAGCACACAGGGCTTCAGAGAAGGTGGCACTAATTCCCAATCAACAGAGCCTGGCCGCTGACCATCCACTCAGGACCCCTGGATAGGGAAGGAAACAGGGAGAGTTATCGGAGCCAGGCAGGACTGGGGAAGGGTTACAGTGTGCCGGTCTTGGGCAGAGCAGGCGCCAGAAAGGGGCCTACGGTCGGACACCGGGAGGGCTTTCTCTTCATAGGTCTATGGTGTCGCTGCCCATGCTCAGCTCGTCGATCTGTCTGCAGGCGTCCAGGAATTGCTCCTGCAGCAAGGCCTCTTCGGCCTGCAGCTCAGAAGCAGGCTCTGGGGAGTCGCGGGAGGATGGGGACAGGGCCTGGTAGGATCCTGAGGCTGGGAGGCTAAGGCTGCTTTCTGAGGGCCGTGGGGGGCTGAGGACGCAGACCAGCGGACAGCGCGGGGGCCTGTCTGGGCTGGAGCATAGCAGCATGGACGAGCTGTCCCGGGAGAGTCCGCACAGCGAGCCTGATGATGCGCTACTGCCAGTAGGCCAGGCCCCAGGAGAGGAAGGCTCCGGGAGCACGGGGGTGCCCCGGGCCTCCTCGGACCTCCCGCTGGGCCCAGACCCGGTCTTTGGCCCCAGCGAGGCGGTGCTGTAGAGGCCGAGCCCAGGCAGGGCTTCCCCGAAGGCAGGACCCTGGAAGAGGCCCGGGGTGAGCAGGGCCTCGCTGCAGAGGGCCTCCTCGATGCTGCGCCGCAAGTTGATTGGGGAGGGCGGGCGGAAGTCCACGGTGTAATCGCTGCAAGGGGAGGAGGCTGGGGAGGGGGCCGGGTTGGCTGCTGCCCCCTCGAAGCCCCGGCAGGCGCCTCCCTGGAGTAGGAGGTCGGGGCCAGGCCCAGCCAAGGCGCATAGCTGCAGCAGCTCCGCGTCTCTGCGCGCGATGGCGCTACCCAGAGGCTCCTTGTCCGGGAGCCCGGTGACCCAGCGTCCGGGCAGCAGCGGGGCCGCGTGGCCCGGGGACAAGCGGAAGAGTTTGGCCCAACAGCGCGGCGGCACGCGGGGGCTGCAGAGCGCGGGATAGAGGCCCAGCAGCGCCAACGGGAGAGCGACGCCCACCTCGCCCAGGCGCAGGCCTAGCTGGAAGGCCCACCAAGGCCAAGGCCCCTCCAGGCCAGGCTGGCCGCCGTAGCCCAGGGCGTGCAGCACCTCGTAGCCCTGCAGGGCTCCGCTCAGCAACCCGAAGGTTCCCGCCACCGGGGCCGTGCGCGCCGCGCGCCGCCAGGAATCCCGCGGGGCGAAGGGGCTGCGCGCCTGCGGCAGTGGGGTGGCGCCCTTGAAGCCGGACCCTCCCAGGGGCGCTCCGGCCCGCCGCCGCCGGCCCCCCCAGCAGGAAAGCGCCAGCAGGAGCCCGGACAGGAGGGCGGCGAGGAAGGCGTGCAGCCCGCGGGAGGCGAGCCGCAAGGGCCTGAGCGGGCGGTGGATGGCGCTCCCGAGGGCTGCGGCCGCCGCCAGCGCCAGGCCCAGGAGCAGCAGCGCAGCCAGGCCGGCGGGACACCGCGGCGGGCGCGGCCGGGCCAGCAGCAGGCAGGCCAGCCCCAGGCCGGCGGCCAGGCAAGGCAGCGGAAGGTCCTGCAGCAGCAGCCAGGCGAGCGCCGGCAGCCGGTCGCGGTGCCCATAGGCGTCGTAGAAGAGCGGGAAAGCCCTCGTGGTCCCAGCCGAGAGCAGGAGCACGTCCAGCAGCGCCAGGCAGGGGGCGCCAGGAGGGCAGCGCCAGGGCAGGAGGGCCAGGGCCAGCAGGGCCAGCAGGGCCACCAGGCCGAAGAGGGCGCCTACCCCATACACATGGGCCTCCCAGGCCAACCCCCAGCGAGCCCTGGCCTCTGCCCAGTCAGCCTCCAGGGTTAGGAAAAAGAGGGACAGCGGGGCCGCAGGAGGCTGCCCCTCGGGGTCAGGCAATTCTCCAACGCTGCAGGACCCTGGCCCACACTCCGGCTGCACAGAAGGGTTCCCAAGGCTGGCAGGAGAGGGCTCATCCGGACCAGAGGTGGGGCTGGTGGAGTCTGTGGGCAAAGAACATTTGTCTGAAGCAGTTGTGCAGCCCTCCCCCTGCCACTCCTGTTCTCTCCGCAGCCAGTAGCCTGTATGCCAGTCAGAGTCTTCACAGCATCCAGGACACATTTGTCTTAAACATGAGACATGACCTCTCACCTCTTGGCCACCAACACACCCCCCCCCCCAATCAAACTCCTCATGCAGTAGTTTCAGCTCCCATTGCTTTCCCCACCCCACCCCATCCCATTACTAGCTCCCTGCTTTGCTCATTTCCCTTCCTCACTTTGTGATCTTTAAGAAGTCCCAGAATCTTACAACTGGAAGGGACTGTGGAAGCCCTCTCTAGTTCAATTCTCCCACCTGAAAGGAAGCTTCATTAAAACAGAAATTTTCGGCCCTGGCCGGTTTGGCTCAGTGGTTGGAGCATCGGCCTGTGGACCAGAGAGTCCTGGGTTTGGTTCCTGCTAGAGGCACGTACCAAAAACAAAAAACAAAACAAAAAAAAAACACACAAGAATTTTTGTTTGCTTTGCTCACATCTGAATCCCTGTGCCTACAATGGTGCCTTGCACAGAGTTAGCACTGAGCAGATATACATTAAATAAATGAATCTTCTTATTTGGCAGATGAAGATATAAGGGTCTTCTAAGAGGCAAAATGACTTGTCCAAGGTTACAAATTTAGCAGAGCTGCCTCTAGAATTCATATCTGAGCCCCAGTCTGAGCTGCTTTCCATGATTCCAGAGCTTCTTCCTAATACTAGTTTGCTTATCTCTTGTTCTGCACCTCTGACTCCCAGCTCCCACTTTGGTGCTAGGAGAAACTCCCCCTGCCCTTTTTCAACTGCTTCCCTATCTCTTCCGGAAAACACACACGGGCACATACACACATGGGCACACACACGGGCACACACACACATGCAACAGGAGGATAGATGAGACATTCCTGTCCCCACCCAGCACTCTGAGAACACCTTTCCTATTCACTGGTCTTCCTGCTTGCTACACCCCCACCGTCAGCCTAGGCATGGCTGTGATCTCCATCCTGATTCAACCACAAAGCCATTGGTCTAAGCTCTTAATATAAATGCCCCCTGCCCTGGCTAGTTTGGCTCAGGGGATAAAGCATCCGCCCACAAGCCAAAGGGTCTCGGGTTCGATTCCTGATCAAGGGCACATACCTGGGTTGCAGGTTCAGTCCCTGGTCGAGGTTGTGAGAGAGGCAGCCAATCAATGTGTCTCTCTCACATTGATGTTTCTCTCTCTCTCCCTCCCTCCCTCCCTTCCACTCTATCTAAAAATTAATGGAAAGGTATCCTCGGGTGAGGATTAACAACAACAAAATATGTATATATAAATTCCCCTTTGGTTCTAGCTCCATTTTCTAGAAGGTAACATTGAGATGGACTCCCCTGGATCTCGAGACTACCCTTGAACTACTAGGAAGGAACAACTAGGGAGATTATAGTGGGATAAAATGCCATTTGAGTGAGTGAGACCCTCAGGGGTTACTCTGGGGTTTACTAACTCAGGACTCCCAGCCACATCCTGGGCTTCAACATCTTCCCCACATCTTGAGAGAAAAGGAAGTAAGAAAGGGTGAGGAGTAAGAGCCCTAATTCTACTCTCCTGAAGCAAGAGAGGAGCATGCTGGAAGCTGAACCTCTCCCTACTCCACTGAGCATGCTCAGCAGCACTGCAGCTGCAGGCAAGGATGGAGGGAGAAAGATGGTAGCGAAAGATGGGGACAGCCTGGTGAAGATGGGGAGGTGCACGGAAGGCAGCTGTAAAATGAGGGGGTAAGGGAGGGTCTCCTGACAGCCAGACTCCTACCCCAACTGCCTGGCCATGCCCAACCATGCCTCAGCTAGATAGTACAGGAAGACCCCAGGAGCACCCCCACCCCAGGCAGTGCCAGTTCATGCCAGGGAAGGCAAAACAGTAGTCCTAAGGACAAGGGAAAGGAGTGAGGAGGGCAGACAACTGTGGAGGGCAGAGAGGGAGGAGCCAAAAAATTAACTATCCACAGTTCACTGCCTGTTGCAAATGGCAGCATGTGCCCTGGTTCCCGTTCCATTGCATTCAGGTCTGAAATGGGGAAGAGTACCTGCTGCATAGGCCGCTATGAGGATAAATGGATGGTGTGTGCAAAGCTGGAGATCCTGGTGCATAATAAACATTCAATATATGACTGTCATTGGTGTCATCATTATTGGTTAATGTTTATCACCAATCATCAGTTTGTGTTTGTGTTAGTGTGACCATTTCTGGCCTCAAACTAGTTCTTGATTTAACTAACAAAAGACTGTTGCTCCTTAGCACATCCTAAATTTGCTTAGAAAATCAACAATTAGTCAAATGAGTGAACATCAACACATCCTTACTTTGTGAACCCTGTTTGAAGAACATTATTGGGATGGATGGACCTAATGAAGACAGTCATGAGTTAAAGACATAGCTAGAAAGAGACAGCTTGCTGATGAGGGGTGGGCATCAGTCTGACATTAGCAGGATCAAATACACATGCTGCCTTCCTCACACTCATTTCTTGGTTCCCCCAATGCCCTTGCCCAATTCATTTCTTCTGCAAAGTGAATTTGCCTGGTCTTCTCTTGGCCTTGGTTGGCTCTGCAGCAAGGCAGGGAGACTGTGCCCAGGAGCCCCACAGCCCGTGCCAGCTGCCACCCTGCATGCCTCCTCCTTGCTCACTGGGGCCACAGGAAGCCCCACCTCTCACCTCTATCCCAAAGCACATGGCAACCAGAGCAAGTTTCAACATTCCTAAGAAGCCAGAGAAGGAATAAAAACCAGAAAATAGGCAAAGTACAGGCACAGCTCAGATGTCAAAGGAGGGAGTTCTGAGTAGGTGCACTACTCCCTGGGGGCAGGGCATGCCCAGCGTGCCTGCACTGGGCCACATGTGGGTGGGGACAGATGAAGAAGACCCAGTTTCTGCCTTTAAAGGGTCTACTTGACCTCAGCCCCTTGTCTCACCTTCCAAGGCTTCCCCAGAAGGAGCCCTCAGTTTCCCCCAGAAGAACCCAGAAGATAGTGACTCCTAGGATCCCTCTCCTGAGCAGGCCTCCCTTACGAGATGGTCCCACTCTGGCCCCGAGGCCCTCTTGACCTCAGGGACAAGGGAGGGGATGGGATGTCAATGTGAGTAATTGGTGAGGTTGGAGCTAGCTGGGGAGGAGTAGGGGAGAGGGGCCAGCTAGATTTATGGAAAAGTCAGGCCTGATTATCTACCAGCTGCTCAGATCAAAGGGCAGGCTCCACTCTGGAGGCAGGAATGGGCAGCCTGGTCAGTGTCCTGGCCCCCATCCCTCTCCCACCCCCACCTCCAGGATTATGGAGGATTGATACTTTTGTGAGGGTGACATTTAAAATATTTAACAACTGGCCCTGGCCAGTTTGGCTCAGCGGTTAGAGCGTCAGCCTGAGGTCCAGAGAGACCCGGGTTCGGTTCCCACTAAGGGCACGTACCTCGGTTGCAGTTTGTCCCCAGCCCTGGTTGCCTCATGCAGGAGGCAGCCACTCGATGTGTCCCTTTCACATTGATGTTTCTCTCTCTCTCTCTTCCTATCTCTCCCTCCCACTCTATCTGAACAAAAAATGAAAAAACGTCCTCGGGTGAGAATAAAAAATAATAATAATAAAATAAAATATTTAACAACTAGAAATGGCACAGGTGCTGGCCAGGGTGGTCAGGGAATGGAGGGGCGTGCCCAGGGGGCTAAGGGCAATGGGTACTTATCAAATGGTATAAAAATCTTTCAATGTGTTAACAACTTACACAAGTGTGTCTACGTGTACTGACTGAATACAAGCCCTGTCCAAGGTGAAGGGGACCTAATGCAAGGGAACAGAAGCCCTAGAGGTTAACCACACCTAGGTTACAGAGGTCCTAGGGGAGACACAGAGAGACTCCCTTTGTCCCCTAACTAATTGACACTACCCCCACACATGCCACTGGCTCAAGCAAGGCCCGTTGGCCTTCTCTCCAAGAGGACTGTCACTCTCTGGGGTTTATCCAAGCGGAATAATCGGGAGGAGGCTGGGTTCCTGCAGCCATCAGTGAGGAGGGGGAAGAAGGGTGGGGCCGGTGAGCTGGGCTGCCTCTGATACTGTCCAGACTCATTAAACCTGTCTGGCCAGCACTGTCACCAAGGCTGACAGACTGCCAGGCAGCATCCTTCCCCTGTGGCCACAGAGCCTGCCCCCAACCCCACAGCAGATCCTGTCACTGCTACATGCCAGGCTGCACAGGGAGGAGATGGCAACCCCCTGACCCACATGCCCTGGAGTGCAGTGACCATGCAAGACTGAGCCAGAGTCAGGTGCTGTGTCAAGTCTGGAGCTGCAAGAAGCTGGGGGACCAGTTGTTTCCACTGTTGAGCTGGTTTCTAGTACCAGGTGGCTGAGAAGATTCACAGCCACAATAAACCCTTTGCAGAGCAAAGCTGGGCCTGGAGGCCCCTCTCCATGGCTCCCTTGGCCTCATCTACCAGAACCACTCCCCAACCAGTGTGCCTTCTGTCCTGTGGGTTATGTGCTATCCCATCACACCTTGGAGCCAGGGTTTGCATTGTCTAAGAGGTAGGGTCTGGAAGTGTATTTGAGATGCACTGGGGGAAGAAGCTAGGTTAACAGCTACTATTTAATGAGCTTCTACTTTGTGCCCAGCCTCATGCCAGAAGCTTAAATTATCTGGAAGCTTCATAATAACAAAATAGGTTCTATTACTAAACCCTAGATATGTAAGAAAATTTAGGTTCAGAGATGCTAAGTAACCCGCCCCAAGGTTATTTAGCCAGTTAGTAACTGGGATTCAAAGCCAAGTCTCAAGATTCTGGAGTCTGTGGTCTTTCCTCTGCACCACCAGCTGTCTATGTGCTTCCTTGAACAAGGACAGCATCTATTCGCTCAAAATCTTCAATGTCTTTCCACTGAGAGACCCAGCTCTGCCCATATCTGACAGCATGTCATGTCAGGTCAGGCAGCAAATGAGAGAGAGCCTCAAGGTTGGGGTTGGGGTGGGGAGTCAGGTCAAGCAAACTGGAGTGGAGGGTGGGGTTGGTGCTGAGGCTGAGGAATTCAAGAAGGAGTTCCTGTGTCTGTTTGCCCCTGATACATTTGTCTATATCCTGCTCTGCCTGTGATTGCAAAACTCCCGTAGGACCATTACTTAACTCTGGGACTGTCCCCAGCAACACTTGTTCTCAGAACATTAATATGTATCTCCATGGTGACAGTGAAGAGAATGGTGATTATGATTATGATGACAATGAAACAAAAGGGTCCCAGAATGCCAATTAATGGCTAGCATGTAGTAAGTGCTCAATAAATAACTGTCAAGTTCAAATGAATGGGACACTCACCTAGTGATGCTGTTGCAATCGAAGCAGAGCTTAGGGAAGCAGTTGGGTCTAGTGGGCCTGGGCTTGGGAGCTTTCTCTCCAGGGTGGATGGGGGTGGAGACAGAGTGGTGCCAAAGAGCCCTGCAAAGGGAGCACACGGGGTTTGAGCGCCATCTTGCCAGCCAGGCTTGGCCTCTGGGCTTTTAATGTAAAGCCTGTCTTTCCCCAGAACTTGCAAGCCCTAAGAGAGCCACTGTCCCCGGAATTATAGCCACGTGTCCACCAGGAGCTAAGCTCCAAGGACCAAACCAGACTTAGTATGGCAAAGAGGGGATTTCCTCCGGGAACAGTGGCCCATGTCCCAGGGCCTGGAGGAAGCAATGCAGACGTACCCTTGAATCAAGGAAGAAAGGGATGCTGGTTAAGCCCCTGGTACAGTGCTTGACATGTAGCAGTGTCCTGTAAATATTTGTTGCAAAGAAGCAAACACTCACCTGGAGAATCTGAGATTCTGGAGGCAGAGCGTAGGGGTGTAGTTGGACCTGTGGGGCTTGCATCTGAGAAGTTCCGAAGTGGGGACAAAGTAGTGCCAAAGAACCCTGCAAAAGGAGCCCGGACTGAAGCTTCCTCTTCCCTGCCAAGCAGCCCAGCAGGGACTCACTTCAGGATAGAGTGGGTACTCACCAAAGGGTCCCAGGCGTCCAGCAATCTCCGCCAGACTGGCCCGCAGGCTGGGCAGCAGGGGCAGAGTTCGATGCCCAAGTGTGGGGGCTGCGCCTGCTCTCAGCGCCATGTCAAACTTCAGCTCCAGCTCAGTCTGGGGGAGCCTGGAGGCACTGGATGGAGGTGCTGTAGCTGTCAGAGCAGTGTCCCAGGTCACAGTGCCCGTCCTGGGCTGATAGGGAGCAGTAGGCCGGTTGGTGGGCCCAGAGAGAGGGGATGTCGATTCTAGAGGCAGGGAGGAGGCCCAGGGGGTAGGGCTGCCTTCAGCAGAACCCCACTCTGGGGGGGAGTTCCCAAGGGAGCCCACCAGCAGTTCCCAAAGGGGATCAGTCCTCAGTCCACTGGCCACCTCTTCCTCCAGCTCCTGGCTCGGCCCAGGAGACAGTGGCCGAGTCTCCATGACAGGGCTCCCCCAGGCAGCAGCAGGTCCCCGAAGGTGGAATTTGAAGTTAAGTCCCAGGTTGAGAGAGAGCACAGAGGCCTCACTTTGAGGAGGTGGGGTCAAAGTAGTGAGAGGGGCGCCTGGGACTGAGGAAGCAGGCTGGGGGCCCACGGGAAGAGCAAGCAGGGCCCAGCAGAACAGCCCCAGCCCCAGACAGCCATGCCCTGCCATGGCTCCACTTGGTCTCAGGTAGCCTCAGTGGCAAGGGACTCAGTTCTTCCGCACCTTTTGAGCACGAAGGTCCTGGAGAAAGGAGAGGCACCATGAGCCCCGGCTGCCTGGGACGAATTGCCCCAGAGAGAGGCTTCTGATCACAGAGAATCTGATGGTGGGGCAGGATGCAAAGGGTTCTGCCTGAGGAGAGTTGGCAGCTCCTTCCTTCATTCAGGCCCCAGCAAATCTCTCCCCTACAGTTTCCCTAAGCCTCCTTCTCCCTAAACCCCTGCCTCCCCCACCTGCTCAATTTGGGGACTTGAGTGTGACCAAACCAGCTGCTCTCATCCTTGACTGGTAGTAGATGGGAAGGACTTAACTCCCAGCCTCAGACGCCTTTCCTCCCTCTCTTCTAGCCTCCCTTCCACTCTCAAATATTTATTGAGGCTACCAGGTGCCCAGCACCCTTCTGGTAATACAACTTGAACGAGCTAACCTTCATAGATGAGTCTCAACATCTTCCCACCCCTGCTTGGGGCCCCAACCTAAGATGTTGGCCCTCTACTCACTCTGACCAGAGAGTACAGGCCCTGGATGCGGCAAAGCACAGGGCCCAGTGATCTGGCAGAGATGGAGAGGCAGCCAAGCTCCAAGGTCTGGCAGAAGCTCTGTCCCTTCAGCCTTTCCCCTGTTTTTCTGGGGCTTGGCCTGCTCCCTTCCCCTTAACCCTAGGAGTATTGGGGGAGGGGCAGCTTGGCCATCTCTGGTTCCTGGGGAAGATGGCCATGCAGTGAAGCTGGGCAAGAAGCTGCTGCAGAAGTCCCTTACACCCTCCCCAGAACACCCCTCCCTGCACACACATCTGGTTGGAGAAGGGGAGGGTGGGCCAGGAACACACGTGTACCTGGCACCCTTACATCACACACACACAGCCACACAGAGCACCCATGACACACTCACCCACTCACCCTTCACACAGCCTTGCACACAAGGGCACGCACACACATTCAGTCCTCCGGAGCCCCCCTCCCTCCTACGTGGGTTCAGACCCAAGCTCTGTGAGCTCCCAGCCACCTCTCCTCTCTCTCTCTCTCTCTCTCTCTCACCTTCCTCACAGACACATTAAGTATATACAGTCACACGGAAAGGCACACGCCCCTCCACACATTCACACACTCCTTACAGACACACACACACATCATCATCATCCCTCTCCGCACACACCCCTCTGCAGGCACGCGCGGGCGCACACACACACACACACACACACACCCCTCCCCGGGCACGGACTGGCCGACCTGCTCCTCTCGGTCCCTCAGGGAGGCGGATCTCCTCTGCCCAGTCCCCGGAGAAGGGGCGGTCGCGGCGGCCCTGGCGCCCCACTGGGCAATGCTCCGCGGACTCTCGCCGGTTCTCTCGGTGGCGCCCGACGCCCCTCGGCTCGTCCCGGCAACCGCGACTCCGCCAACGCGCTGCCCCGGGTCTGGCCCGGCCCGGCCCGCGGCCCGCAGTGCTGTCCCCAGGAGGACGGCGCGGCCCGGCTCCGCGTTCCCTCCCGGTGGCGCCGCCTCCTGGCTGTGCTCCTCGCTCCCCAGCTGAGCCGCCCGCGCCGGGGCTCCGCGACAGCCGCGGTCGGACCGCCCTCCCACCCTCGTTCACTCGCTCCCGCCCTTCCCTCCCTCTCCCCTCCTCCTCCCACCTTCCCGCGGCCCGTGGTCTGCCGCCCACCCCGGCCAGCAGGCGGGCGCGCACGTCTGTGCCCGTCTCCCCCACGCGCGCTCATTCACCCGGAGCTGCCGACCAGCGGCGGGCGCGGGCGCCTCGTTCTCAGCCTGGCGCGGGCAGCCACGCACTCCCAGGGCGGCCCATCACACGCAGCCATCCACACGCACGCCCTTCCCGGGAAACCCACCGCGGGCCTGAGCGCCGCGCGCTCTCGTGCGCACACACACGCGCGCACACACACACACACACACACACGCACACACACGGCGGCTGGCCCCAGAATGGCACCCCACGAAAGAAGACCCACTACGTTTATTAAGCCGTGAGTAGAAGTGTGACAGACACTGCTACACCTTTTATCTCATGAGTCCTCACCACAACACTGTGGGTGTCCCCATTTCACAGATCGGTAAATTAAGGCTCAGACAAGTAATGCATTTGCCCAAGATTACACAGCTTGCAGAAACTTGAACCCAGTCTTTGTGTTGCCCTCTCCACCACCCGGAGGCTTTCAACAGCTGTGCAGCGACATGGGATTGTCGCCCATAGGCACAGGTGGACTGTTGAACGTGAATTCGTGTGTGTGACATTTCTTTTTTGCTAAAAGTGATTTCTCAAAAATACTTAGAATTTCAGAAATGTCTGCAAGAGAGAATGGTGAGCTAAGCAGTTTGTGAGAGGAGGCTTACAACTTGTTTCCCATCAGGGGCAGGAGGACAACAGTGAGGTCAAAGAAAGAGCACAGCCTCAGGAATATACGAGAGCCCAGGCCAAGGCTGCCACCCCGTTGAAGATGACGAAAGAGCTGGGTGGTCACTGTGAATACTTCATGGCCCTTGTTGTGCTGTCACAGTGACTGATTTAAGTAGGACTAACTCATTTATGTTGTCTTGAGTCTCTAAATCCCTTCAGGTGTTCCTCCAAAAAATGCTAGTGTTTATAAGTACCAGGAGGACATAACACATAGAAGACTCCTTGTACCACATAAAGCTGTCCTTCAAAATCCAGACATCCTACTGTGTGCCAAGAACCATGCTGGATATTTTAGGATTCCCCTCACTTATTCCTCATCACAAGCCACAGAGAGAGAGAAATTATTGTCACCATGTTACACCTTTGGATGTGACCCTGACCCCCCTTTCCATTTACCCCTTCCTAGTTGCTCTTCAAGGTTCTCAAAGGGGTGCTTAGAGAGTTACCTAGGGCAGGTTCTGTCTCAGTTACAGAGAGCTAGCATAGCAGTTTGCCCATGGTACATGCTCAGTGAATATTAAATAAGTAAATAACAAATAAGTGAATGATTCTGGGGCCCAAATGAGCGATAGATTGCATTTTAGAAAGGCATCCAATTTAACTCCGGGTGCAAAATACAGATGATGTATTATAGAATTATACACTTGAAACCTATATAATTGTATTAACCAATGTCACCGCAATACATTTAATACATTTTTTAAATTTAAAAAAAAAAAAAAAAGGCATCAAGGACTCAGTTTCTTATCACAGAATTCCCCCAATCGATATAAGATAAAATCAGTCCACCAACTGAGTCCTTCTCCAGGGAATGTCAACAGTGAAGCCTGAGACTTATTCTGGGTCATTAAGCAAAGGGCTTCCCCCCACACTTCACTATATGGTCTAGTCCTTTAGGGGCTGCCTGGAGGCTACATACCGGGATCCAGCCTCTGGTTTTCTCTCATATACTAAATAAAAGTTATCCCACTACAGACATTTTCCTTGAATCCTCCTCATAGAAAGGCTTATTTCCTGCTAGTCATGTTCACTTAAAGACTTCTAAATAGAAAAACAAAAATAAACAAACCCCAGTACATTAAAGTAGCAGTCCTCTATGACCAAGTAGGGTTATTTCCAGGAGTTATATTTTTTTAAATATATTGAAAAAGAGAAGTTAGGGCTCTGGGTTAAGATGGTGATTAAATGCTAATTTCACTCCCTCCCAAAACCCCACTAAAATGTCAATAAAGAAAATTTTAAACCTACAAGGATGGAACGAACAGAAAAGAAGCAACAGCCACAAAGTGTTTGAAGCAGGACGGCAGCGCCCATGCGGTTACTGACTTATCAGCCCTGAAGAGAAAGACTTGTCAGCTGGAGTGGGAGAAATTCAAAGTCAACATGATTTACATTGCAAGGTTTTCAGAGGCCACAGAAATCGGCAATCCAAGGTAGCTCTGGAACTGTGGGAGGGGTTGCTCATATGCGGACCATGAAGAGGAGTTAGAGTTCTAGATCTCTTCCCCAACTCCAAGTCACTGGGGAACAGCCCCTCCCCTATCCCAGCCAGAGTCTGGAGGATTCACCTGTGAAGAAGGTAAGATAGAGGGCATTGGGTTGAAGAAGCTTCAAGTACAGTTATGAACAGAAATACCATGCTGAAAATTGTGAAAGCAAGAAGATTATATTACCATGTCATATGGAATACTGAGTGCAGAGACCCTGAGCCTTTTCCCACCATCAGGCTCCCAAAGTGCTGGGAGCAGAACCTTTGTCATCTAGGCAGGAAACTGGAAGACTCTACTCTGGGGTATGTCACTAGCCCAAGAGGAAAGACCTAAAGATACTGACACAGGCGTTTCCCCGGCTAAATCACCCACCAGTGGCAAGCCCAACCTGTGAGCTCAGTCTTTGACTAGCCTCCCACCCCCGCAATCTTAATCATGGCCAAAGATTACCAGATGTCCAGGAAATTTTCTAATGCAGAAGAAAGAGACAAAACACACAATCAGAAAAACTAACTTGTAGTAAACAAGTTATACAGAGAAAAGTAAGTGTCTAAAAGACCATTGTTAATAGCCTTAGAGAGATAAGAGAAAATACAGCATCCATGAAACAAGAACAAGAGACTATACAAAGGAACATCCAGAGAATAGCAACAGCAACAATTATGTCTTGAAAAATAAAATCACAACAGCAGAAACAATAAGACCAATAGAAAGATAGGAAGATAAAGTTGATTAACTCTCCCTAGAAAGTAAAGCATACTAAGAGATGGAACACATAGGAGAGAAAAGATAAGAACATAACATTAGAGGACAATTCTAGGAATTCAACATCAAAATAATAGAAGTTTCAGCCAGGCTGGTGTGGCTCAGTGGATTGAGCATCGTTCCATGGACTGAGAGGTCCTGGTTCGATTCCCAGTCAGGGCACATGCCCAGGTTGCAGGTTCGATCTCCAGTAGGGGGTGTTCAGGAGGCAGCCAATCAATGTATCTCTCTCACATCGATCTTTCTCTCTCTCCCTTCTTCTCTCTCTAAAAAAATCAATAAAAACATTTTTTTAAAAAATAGAATTTTCAGAAAGAAAAAAACAGAGGAAAATAAAAGGGAAGAAATCACCAATAAACTAATTTGAGGAAATTTACCAGAACAGAAGAACATGAGATCATAAGGGTGGGTTCACTAAGACCCAAGATTGGGGATGAAAATCCACACCAAGGTAAATTAAAGAGAAGAGTCTAGAACAGAAAAAGAAAGAAAGAAAGAAAGAAAGAAGGGAGGGAGGGAGGGAGGGAGGGAGGGAGGGAGGGAGGGAGGGAGAGAAAATTAGATACCACAAAGGTTTTGGATTTCTCAACAGAACTCTAGTAATTAAAAGCAATGCTGAAGCCCTGGCTGGTTTGGCTCAGCGGTTAGAGCGTTGGCCTGTGGTCTGGAGAGACCCCGGTTCAGTTCCCGCTAAGGGCATGTACCTCGGTTGCAGTTTGTCCCCAGCCCTGGTTGGGTCGTGTGGGTGGCAACCACTCGATGTGTCCCTTTCACATCAATGTTTCTCTCTCTCTCTCTCCCCCCTCCCACTCTATCTGAACAAAATATAAAAAAAAAAAAGTAAAAGAAAAAAAAAGCAATGCTGACGAAAATTTACTTTCAACCTAGAATTTGTATCAATCAAGTAAAATGATAGAATATATACATTTTCAGACATATAAGATTTCTTTTGCCCTGGCCAGTTTGGTTCAGAGGTTGAGCGTCGGCCTGCGGACCAGAGTCCTGGGTTCGGTTCCCGCTAGGGGTATGTACCACCAAAAAAAAAAAGGTTTCTTTCTTTTTTTTTTAATCCGCACCCAAGGATATTTTTTTTCCTTTCTATTTCCTTTCTAGAGTGTGAGGGAGGGAGAGAGAGAGAGAGAAACACCAATGTGAGAGGAACACATCGACTGGTTGCCTCCCACACGACCCTGACCAGGGCTGGGGATGAACTGCAACTAAGGTCTGCCCTAGACCAGAATCAAACCCGAGGCTCATGGGTCTGCGGGCCGACGCTCTGACCCCTGAGCCAAACCAGCCAGGTGACATATAAGATTTCAAAAAGTTTACCTCCCATGCAGTTTCTGGAAAAGGTCCTAGAGAAAGCACTCCAACAAAACCAGAAAGTAAACCAAAAAAGAAAATGTGGGATGCGGAACACAGGAGATCCACCACAGGCAGGGGCAAAGAGAGCTCCACGGAGGACGGTGAAGGGGGGCACCAGAATGGCAGCTGTACACCACAAGTACACCAGTTCAGTTGGAAGCAGTCTGACTAACTCAGGAGATGTCGATGGCTGTCATCTCCAAGATCCTTGATGCCAGTGTACCATCTTTCAAACCTCAGGTCAGAATGTTCAGGTGAGTCTGCTTCAACTCTTATTTATACTTGGCTTGTCTTGACCAAGTTCTCCCCCCCCCCCCGTT